GGTGGGGGGGGTGGGTGTGGGGGATTTTAAAATTTATTTTAATGTCTACGGATCGTTATTATTTATAATTTTTTTTTAGTATTTTTTATTTGATTTTTTTTTTTTTTTAAAATAATGGAAATCGCAATAAAATTCTCGCGGGAAGGCGGGCCGCGCCGCGCCGCTGGATGGTGGCTCCGAGCGCGGCCTCGCTTTCTCTCTCAGATTTTTTGGGGCAGGAACCTTGCAGAGGCTGAGCCCTCTCCTCGCCTTCCCCCCCCCGCCCCACGCTCCTGCCTCTGGAAGATTCATCCCGCTCCTGCTCTCAGATCGTTAGCTACGGAAATCCACTCACATTTCCCCCCTTTTCTTTCCCTCAAATAATAAACTCTATAGTGCTGTGAATTTTTCCGGGGCTGCGGGGGTCATAACAAATGATCAGAGCAGGACGTTAACAGTTCTGAAGGTCACAGTCACTCAGAGCAGTTTCATTTCGAGTTTTATTCATCTTCCTCTTCAACTGGATGCTTATTCCCACTCGGTTTTGTGCACTGGCAATAAAACAGAATTTACAGTGGCCCCATTGTTGGACATCACTGGAAATAGGGTTTTACTTTGTTCCCAGCCATTGGAACTGGAAGCGGAAGAGCTTTGGAAGGGCTGAAAAGGACAAAATAAATAAGAACAACAATACCTCAGCAGCTCAGAGCACCAATTTAATAGTTTTTACATATGGCATTAGGTGGGACGCGATATTTACTGGGCTCTGTCCCTGCCAACACACAGTGGCACTGTAGAGGTTAACGTGAAGGGCAACAAAACCTCCAGCTCATTTTTTGAAATTCAGCCTGATGGCAAGCACTTGCCCCCATAGATCTGGGCATGGGAGTTCAAATTTTCTCCCAAGTTTAAGATTAAAGCCACTGGATTTCTCCTACCAGTGTTGTCTTTCTGGTTCTGTTGGATAAATTCCACTTCAGGACTCCTTGGGGAGTTCTGATGGGGCTGCTGAACAAGTGATGTGTTCCCTCAGAGGTGTTCATGCTCTTTCTTTCTTAATTTTTCAAATTTTTTTATGAATGGAGGGGCTGTAAAATCACAGTCCCAGGCCTGCTGGAGCCCCATGGAACACCTTCAGAGAACTTCCCCTACACCTATCCTTGGTCTTTTGGGGAGTGCAAATTCAAAGATGGTTCATGCTGTAAATCTGGCCATGTGAATGAAAAGCTGAGTGGCTTTTCTGCTCAGAAAAATTAAAATTTAGGTGGCTGCATCTTGGTGTCAATTTAATGCATTATATTCTTTAATAAAAACTTAAAACATCTCCAGTGTATGTCAAGCTTTCTGCCCAGCAACTCATTTCCCTGCAGCAATAACATTCTCATGCAGAAAAAAAAATTACTTTTCATGGCTAAGTTGCTCTTGAAAGCTTAGTTTGGGCAGAAAACTCATTGATAATTAACTGTCCTGGGCCTAATTTCCTGCTGTGGGTTTGTTACTGGGAGAATTGGGCTGAGCACTTGTCCTTGTACCTCTGATCATGAGGGAAGGGTCAGCTCTGTCCCTGCCTTGTCTCCATGGGTTCATACTGCTGCACATCTGTATTTCACATTAGAAAAGGTAAAATCCCCTGTGAACAACCAGTGTTCTTTGCTGTCCTATTAATTGCTTTTAGACAAAGGGAAAAATCAGAAATAAAGGCATCCTTGAAGGTGTTTGAGATAAAAAAGGATTGATACCTTTATCATGAAGAGGCCCCAAGTGAAGTGCTGTGTTTGTTTAATGTGCACTATGGCAGATGGGCTTGGGCTGCAGGGGAGATGCCAGCAGCACAGCGAGCTGTAATTAGGGAAAATGTAGACTTGGTTCACAAACTATCAGAACATTATCCAGCATCCACTTTCTGGGTTTGAGTGGAGTTTTGCTGTTATGCAAGCACAGGAGGGTTAGCTGTACTCTGGCTGTTGTATCTATCCCAGCCTTCCTCCATCTCCATCCTTTTTTTGTTCATTTTTCCCCATTGTTATTTTATCGGAAGGCAAAACGCCTCAGGGTCAGGGTTTGGATGTTTCTTGTCTTGTTACAATTGTGGCAGAAGGGAATTTTCCTTTTGGTAACTTGCTTGCCTAACTAGGCTTGGGGGTCCTGTAAGAATACGCAGAGTTACTGTCCTTTAAAAATTAAATTAAACACCATTAAAAAGCTAAAACTGAAGCCACCCCATGGTTCAGTCTCCAAAGAAAATGGCACAGACTTCTTGCCTCCATTTATTTTCCTTTTTCCTTGACATCCCTTTCTTGAGAGCATGGTGACCATCCTGTTCTGAGGGAAGGGAAGGGGAGTGTTGAGTGCCAAGGTGCTGGAATTTCAGGGCAGTGCCTGTTCTGGAGCTCTCACACGTGCTGGTCAGAGGTTTTTGAGTTGCTTCTGACATCTTTGTGTGGGTTTTAGTGCAACTGTGCTAAACTGCTGAGCAGAATGCCTGCTTAACCTGCAGGCCTCTTTCCTTATCACTGGGTGCACTTTAGGGTGGTGTTACATCCCTGGTTTTGAGTAACTTTTAATTTAACAACTGATTCATGGCAATGTCTGTGAGGGTTCTTCAGTGACTAAGCCATCAGCAGGTTCCAGGTGTGCACTGGGCCAGACTTGAGTCAGGTTGTTCAATATCCAGATGCTGTAGAAGCTGTCACCCAGTGTGGAGACAGGAATTGACATTATTGATGTCAGTATTGGGGGAAAAACTACAGAAAATAAAGCTGCAGGACTTCTTGCATAATCCTCCTTTGACATCTTCGATTCATTCGACTTTATAGAGCCAAACACTGCACTGAAATAAAACCTTGCACTTCAGATTTCTCCCTTAGAAGAAAAGCTTTGCCAGCTCTCTGCACTAAAGTTCTTTAGAGTACCCTGTAAATTTGTTTTCCAAGCTGCAACAATGTCAGTCAGTGCTCCAGAAACATCCATTCACACTTTAAATTCAAGTCTTTGTAGCTACATTTCTGCTCCAGACATTAATTGCAGTGTGGCTGCATTTATTTCTTAGTTTCAAAGTGAAGATGCTGCTGGAAACAAAACTGGAGACTTTCTTTCCCACCCGGGAGTGACTTTGTTTCCCTTGCATTAACTGGGAAAATACAAATGCGTGACCTTGTTTTGCTTATACAAACACTCTACTTGGCATGTAAACATTAAGGAGGGAGGTGAGGGATGCTGAGGAAATACTCATAAAAATAGGAAAAAATGTGCAAGTTGCTGCTGGGGAAGAAACATTTATAGTGCAGCTTTTGGGCCCTGATGGAGACTTTGCTTCTTGGGGTGTAACTGCTGGACCCAGGGGGTTGGCACTGAGTTTTAATTGCTCAGTTGTTACTTTGTCCTGAGTTTGTGACTTTGCCACCCCAAAGCAAAGGGTTTCCAGCTTGGATCTGCCAGGCTGTCCTGCCTTCCCCCAGGTTTACCTTTAACCACGTATCTGCAATGCAAAATGAATTTATTTTTTATTTTGCCATATTTACCCTAATGAAAATGGGGTTTTAGGTAGCAGGGCTATATTGCTACTGAGCCTTCTTAGATTCCCTCACCTCCATTTCTTTGTTACCCTTCTGTTCCAAATTATGTTAAACATCTGGCAAAACCCATCTACCTTCAGCTTTTGTAAAGGTCCTGAGGTTTTTTTTCATATGTTGCATCAAAGATGTGTCAAATGATACTTTGAACTTGAGTCTTCACCTATTGCAATATGAAACTCAAGTTGGTGGCCTTGGCTTTAGCAGAAGATCCAATTTTGGCTAAATTGTTGCATTTGTAGGATTGGAAAATATATTTCTTTTTTCATCTTGGTGAATGTGTTAGGGTTTTTTTTTTTTTTCCCCCCAATGGTTTGTGATTAACAGCTGTAACTGGAAAACAAGAGGTCAGATCTATAAAGAGACCTGATAGATGAGAGAATTTCTGCTTTAATTTTTGGCTCATGTAGAGGTTGGGAGTTCTTGCTGATGTGGATGTGCACAATCAGTTTGTTTCTTGAAGAAGTGTGGGTAGGAAGAGTAATTTTGGAAATGTGGTAAGAGATGGAAAATCTGGAATACTTGGGTTGATGCTTAAAGGGAATACTCCACACTTTCTGCCCAGTCTAGCAACCCAGTTATTTTCAGGTCTAAGAATACTTTGTCACTAAAAATGGGAGTGGTTTCTCTTGCAAAAACACAAAACTCTTTCACTTTTGATCTGTAGTTGATGGAGGAAAAGGAGGATCTTCTAAAATCTATGAAAGCAGCAGAAGGAACTGGTAAAATGGTTTGACTTTGGTCAAGTTCTGACCAAAATCACATTTTTGATTGTAGTAGAAGGACAAATCAAACTGAGTTGTGGCTCTTATGTGGGGGTTCCACATCTGCTGAAACGACTTTCAGATAGAGAAGGGTCTGAAAATTATGCAAAAAAAGCTGTTCCAGGTTCACAAGGCTTCAGTTCTCTCAGAAGCCATTTAACAAATGTCACATTTGGTAATTGGTGAGATTTGCTCCAGAGCAAGCCTGACATTGTGAAGCTGCCCTGTAGAAAGTTAAGGCTGATGGGTAGTTAAATAAAGGTTATTTGCATTTGAGCTTTTTTTGGTGAGATTAGCTCTCTGCAATATCCTGAAAATGCCTGCTGGGCACCCCAAATCTGCAGTTCTGCCATCAGCCAATGCCCCCAGCGTGTGTGATGCTCTGAGACCACAGCTCTGATGCAGAAGCTTGTTGGAAATGAGTCAGGTGATAGTTTAGTGGTTTTTCATTTTTTCCTCATTAAGGCCTTTCATGGCTCTCTGATGGCTTTGCTTATTTCGGCAGAATTTATTGAAGGGTTATTTATGTTCACTGAGAGAAGTTCCTTTGATTTTTTGACTACCCTGTGAGCTCTCTTTTATAAGAACCTATTATTTTGGGGGTAGGGTGTATTCAGCCCCAGCTTGGTGTTTTTAAAAGCATTTCAATGCAGTTGGCATCTAAAGAAGGTGTTCAGGAGCTCTGAGCAGCCTGGTCCAGAGGAAGGTGTCCCTGCCCATGGGATGAGGATGGATCTTTAAGGTCCTTTCCAACCCCAGCCATTCCATGATTCTATGACATCCAGGTTGGGTTTAGATTTCAGTGTTGTTTAGATAACACCAGACATGATTCTTCAGGTGTCATTATTGAAATGGTTGTGTGTCAGTAAGGTGAATCTATTTAAAAAATTGAGGGGTTTTTTTAATAGAACAGAAGATTTATTTTTGCCTCACATTCCAGTGAGTGCTCCTGAAGTCATAACACAAATCTAAATCACTATAAGGAGTATTTGAAACTAGGACTTCTTGGTACAAGGGAGGAGCTTAGAATTAAGGCACACCAGTGGAGTTGAAGAATTTGGGGACTTTTTTAGCTGCAGGGATGTTTTGGGGCTCAGGTGCCTGGGGTGGGGGGCACAGACTGACCCTTCTCAGTGTCCAGGGTGTTCTGAGCATCCCCAAGTGTCCTGAGTGCTGCACAGTGACAGATTGGCATTAGGAGGAACTGGTGTTTTTGGGGGAATGGACAGAATTATTTGGTTTGCAGCGTTGTGAGAGCAGTTAGAAACGAGCTCTGTAGGTGGAACCTCACAGTCAGGGCTGGGTCAGTGGTTTGGGTGGCCCAAATCTGACACAGTGACAACGTTTGGAGCCTCCTGGCTCAAGGAAGGGACCCTGTGCTGGGTAGGGCTTGAGGCTGATCTTGCCTTTGTGTGCCTTAAAGTTTTGGAATTTGCTTTAGTTGCAGGATTATTCTTTCATTCTTACTCTGATTTTACAAACTTAGTATTTTCCTCATTTTATCCTTTAATTTATCACAGGTTGCTTGCTGATGGCCCTTGGTAGGTCAGCAGGTTGGAGATAAACCCAGCGGGTCCTTGTCAGGCTCTGCCCTCTGGGAATGCTGGTTTTCCTGACCCCATTCTCAACTCTAAATTAAGATGGGTTTGGAATTCTTGCTTGGTAGGAAGTGGAGCAGTTTCAGCAGCTCTTTAATCATCTGCCATGTGTGTGTTTCATTCCAGAGGCCGCAGCAGTGGCAAAGGACCACCTCAGCCTACGGTGAGTTTGTGGTTTCTCCTCTTTGTGCCCATGCAGGGTATGAGGAAACAACTTATCAGCATGGCAGATACTGAAATATTCTCTCCCTTTTCACCATGGTGGGTGGATACTTCAGAGTGAAATACAATTTTCTAAAGAGTATCATCTCACATTCATTAAGTCTCCTGGGAGGGTTGAAGTGGGGAAGATTCGCTTAAACTTTTGACTGCACTAATATAAATATTCTTAATTTTCTTGCAATTACAGCTGAAAATATAAAAAACATGTAATTTAAAGCAGTGCTTTTTGAATTAGTTCCTATCTGAAAATTCTAACCTTAGCTTCTCCCTTAAACAGATGGCAGTAAGGCAGCATTTAATGACATAAAAAGAACGACTTTGTTTAGCTTTGCTATAAAATTGCTGAACCATTGTTCTCAGTAGCTCCAATGTGCAGCTTTAGTTGTTCTCAAGCCTTTGTATTACTGGAGTGTAGATGTGGCCTGACTTGCAGAACATCACTTTATCAGAGCTAAATTCATGGATCTTGATTGAAAGAGTGAATCTTTGAACTTCACTAATCAAATATTTGCCAATTTGTTGCTGGCCTGGTTTTCAAAGATGCCTAATTTTGGGGAATGGAGCAGAAGCAGGAAGATTTAAAAGGGCTGCAGTTTGCTTACATAAATGTTTATTGAAGATACCAAGACACTTGAGAAAAACTAAAGAAGCTTTGAGGAAAACTGATGGAAAAAGTCATAGGCAAGCACTAAAATTTCCCTAATGTTGATGTGCTGTGTACTGAGTGCTGAGCACAGGAGTGTCCCCAAACTTGTCTGTTCAGCCCAGGAAAGTGGCTGACCATTAAAAATATGTTGTCAGTTGAAAAAATCAGAATATGGTGAGATCTCAAGAGCTGTTTTAGCATCTCTTGTTTTACAAACATAAAGAACTACCAGAAATTGCAACAAAACACCTGCACTGAGGTGAATGTGTCCTCCAGCAGCCTGGGGACACCTGCCCAGCTCTCCCAGTCAGGATTGCAAATCCTGGTGTTGCACTGAGTTACTTTGGACTAAATTAATAATAGGGTTTGTGGCAATTTAGCACTCCACAATTTGATGGCTTTAGCTGCTGTTAATGTGTGTAATCAGGGCTGGGAGATGAAAGGATGAGCTTGAGCAGGCCTGAAAACACCTTTTTGCTTCTACAGCACTGCAAGTGCTTTATTCTCTTGATGGTTCTTAAAACCAGCAGGGCTTTTTTTGTTTGAAAACAAAGCCCTGCTGACATCCCTCAAATCTGTGCATATCAGCTGCACCCAGCCAGCCAGAGAATTTCCTTAATGGAGTGACATGAGGGGCTCTCCTGGGATTTTCAGCTTGTTTGGGAGGGTGTCAGATCTTTAACTGGTCAGAGAAAAGTCAGGGGCCCTCTGAGAATCTCCCCTGGCATGTTTAGTATTAATATTTAATAATAAACATTCCACATGTCTTTCCTGAGTAAGATTTTTACCCAATGTTTCTGAGATTTTCTGTGTACTGATGAAAGCCTGGGGTGGGTGCTCTGCCTTTGGAATTTCTCCAGTATTCATGATGACTTTCTTATTTTTCAGATTTCTTTCGATGGCATCTATGCAAACATGAGAATGGTTCACATACTCACATCAGTTGTTGTAAGTCTTCATATTTGGAAGAATGGTTCCTTTATGGCAGGGAATTGTTAACTAATCCACTAATTGTAATATAAAGGAGTGAATATTAAACTTTAAACATTTTATGCCAAAGTTGAGCTTTAAAAGATCACAGAAATTTTAGGCTTGGAAAGGTTTAACTCTGATTTGCAGAGGTACAGCAGATTTCTTAGGTGCACTGGTTGTATTTTGAATTTCCTGTCTTTAGAGTGGTTCTGGATAAATAAAATGAGTGCATGTGCAGGGATTAAAAACCTTTCTCCCAAGATTTTAAGGGAAGCCCTGACATGGCAAAATAAATAAGGCAGACTGTCCCACATCTGCTTGAGGGCAGGATAAGCTTTTATCCTTATTTGTACCCACACAGGCACAGATTTGGGGTTTGCACAAAACCTCCTTTGTGTGTTTTAACTGGTCAAGAGTCTTGTGAGAACCAAATATTCTCCAGTGAGTATCTTAAATCCCTTCAGAACTGCCCATACACACCCAGCTATTTGAATTTGCAGAGCACAGCAGTGTATTTATAAATGGGCAGATGCTGATGGAGGAAATTTGGCTAAAAATTGAGTTGTGTTTTTACACTTTGGACCTATGTACAGAACACATGTTTTAGAAAATCACTGTAATGTCATTTATCATCTTGGTAGAAAGTTATATTCTCCTTTTTCTTCCCTTCTAGGGATCCAAATGTGAAGTACAGGTGAAAAATGGTGGTATATATGAAGGAGTTTTTAAAACCTACAGTCCTAAGGTAATTTTTTACATTTTGACTCTTCCCTATTGTGAAAATTCCTAATATGGAATGACCAACATTTGATTAAAATTGTAATATTTACTCTGCATTATATTTACAGTTCATGCCTAGATAAAAAGCAGCTTGTAAATACCTAGCTTTTGCAAATTTTTGAAGGGCTGAGTGTGCAGTAAAGCAGTGCCCTGTGCTTGTGTTTCCCACAGTGTGATTTAGTGGTTGATGCTGCTCATCGGAAAACTGCAGACTCCAGTTTGGGGCCAAAACGGGAGGACATCCTGGAGAGCATCTTGTTCAAGTCTTCAGACTTTGTTATGGTGCATTTTAAGGATATGGATACCAATTATGCCAGAAGAGGTATATTTGCTTCAATTTTTTTTTATGTTTTGAGATTATAATTCAAAGTTTTTGAAGTAGATGCTTTAGAATCCAAATACTGAAGTTCATATTTAGATTTGTAGTTCTTAAAGAGTGCAAAACTTCAGCACTTTGTGAAATCAAAAATTCATAAATTAAAAAAAAATGTATTTTTGAGTAGTTGTTTTGGTGTATGGAAAGCAAAGCCTTAGTGGTTTTTCAGAATATTTTACAGATTCTATGGAAGGTAGACACATTTTTGTAAATATCTTCCTAAATTTCTCTGTTAAGTGTTATGCAAGAATCATTGAATGCAGAATTTCTCAGAGTTGAGATATATAGTCTATACTGAGGTATAATCTGTGTCTAAACATGCATTCATAGAAATATTCTATAAATACTCCTGCAAACAAAGCTAGAAATTCTTTTAAAATCCTCTGTTTGTGTTTTAATTTCTCCTCTACTCCTTGTAGACCTTGTAGACCAGAATAGAGAGGTGACAGACAAATCTTAAAATCTTGCAGGCATTGAAACTGTTCAAATGAAACAATTTTGCAGGCAGTCTTCATACGTTAATGTCTGACCTCCAAGCCCCTGATTATTCTTCTGGAACCTAAGAGCTCATGAGTCAGTTCTATTCCTTTGCACATTTCTCTGGTTTTGGGCAGCAAACCTCCAGAGTCTTTATGCTTAATCTTATTGATTTGCTGGGATAAGGAATAAAAGAAAATACAGGTTTTTATGGCATGGGGTGGAATGGTCTCTGTGTACATTTACAGGCTGATTAACAACTGTCACAGGAGCTCAGTGCTTATTGGAACACAGGTTTTATTCCCATTAGCTGGGACTTAGAGACGAGTAGAGATTTGAGGACATTTAATGAGAATTTCTCTCTTCACCTTGTGTTTGTACCTGTTCTTGCCTGATCTAAAGCTGCAGAATGAGAGGTTTGTTGTTTCAAGGAATTTTTGCTTTTCCCAGATGATGATGCATAATGTCAGAGCAAATGCAGCATTGAAATGCAGATAAGTTCCAGGTTCTGGATGGGACTTGGAATTTAAATTACATGAGAGCTGTTTTATAATGGGTTTGGTATGAACATCACTTTAATGTAAATGTAAACTGGGCTCTGCCTCACCCAATCTTTATAGATTTTGAGCAGACTGAATGAGGAATGTACTACTGCTTCTAGGAATAATTGCTCAATGGACATTTTCTAGAAGAAAATGACTGTTTCAGGTTGAACAGTCCCTCAGTTCACTTTATTAGGTGGAATGACTGAGTCTAAATCTCTTAAATACTGGAGAGCTGAAATAAAGCCATAAAAACTTGGGGAGAAAGATAAACTGGAAGGCTGCAGAACTTGATAAGTCAGAGTGGGTGAATTAATCTGCTTTCCATTTCGTCCCAAAAATACATTATCTGGAAATGACACTTGAAAGTGTAACTCAGTCTCTGATCACACCTTCAAATTAGAGCAACGAGGGGTTTTCTGCTTCCTGGGAAATTAAACAAGCAAGGATTGAAAAGGCTGGAAGTTTGGGAATGTGCATGAAGGAGCTGCTGGCCTTTGTTCTTGTAAATAAACCCAAATCTTGGTGGTGCTGGATGATTTAGAGTGAAAACTGACTCTGAACTCCTTGGTGCTCCTTGTTTTGGGAATTGTCCCTGCTTGGTGCTCTGGTTACCCTTACCTGGGAACAGAGACTTTTAAATTGTCTAACCCTCAATGGTTTTTGACTTTCATAGGCAGGTGAGGAGAATTTGGGAATACTTGGTTGGAAAAGCTTTAAAATCATAGTCAAATAAAGAGCTTTTCATCAGCTCTCCATTGGGAGGCTTACCTGGAGCAGGGGTGCTGGGGTCTGGTGATCCTTGTGGGTCCCTTCCAGCTCACATTATTCTGTGATTCTCTCTGTGTAGTTTCTTACCCTGTAGGACTCTTCTAGATTTTGTGGAGCCCTTGAACTAAATAAATATCTGCAGAATATGCTGTTTTCAAAATTTTAATGCATCCCAATTCATTATAAGTATCTGTGGATTTTATTCTGCATTTGTTCCCTGCTGGGCTGGAGGAATGTGGGCAAATGGGCTCCTGGCTGTGGGTCTGGATCTTCTGGTCCACCCTCAGGTTTGAGTAGCAGAGATGTTCTCTGGATGCTGAAAAAGACACTGGAAGAGGAATGGGAAAGAGCAGCAGGTGGGGAGAAAGGGAATGGGATGGAGTCTCCTTTCAGAAGAAGGAAAACAGAGTTGAGTGTGAAAGCCTCTGCCAGAGCCTGCCAGGCAGCTCACAGTGCTATCACAGCCCTGCAGCTTTGGGGCAGGGAGCTGATAACCCAGCCAGAGAGCTCAGGGAGGGAGCAGCACTGCAGGCCTGGGGGTGCAGCTGGAGCAGCACACGTGGGCTTGTGCCAAGCATGACACTGCACCTTCAGAGACTCCCCTGGGAAAGCCTGGGGTCTGCCCAGATTGTAAAACTGGGGGAGAAATTGGTAGGTCTGCACAGGGAGGGGTGTTGTGGCTGTGAATGTTCCAAAAATCAATGTGTCCCTGTTTCCTGGGCCTTTATTTGCAGCTCTGTCAGCCTGCACAGACCTTGCAGCTCCTGGAGGTGCTTGTTTGGCTTCCAGAGGAAGGGGAGGGTTTCTCTCTGTGGAATTGAGGTTTGCTGCAGTACAGGCAGGCTGATGAATGAAACATACACTGGAAAACTCAGGTGAAGCTGTATTAAACCCATCATTCCCCTTCCAGACTGTTCTGTCTACTCCTAAAGAAGGAGTGACACTGATTTCTGCATGTGCAGTGGAAATCAGCTGCTAAAACCCCACTGTCAGTGCAGGCTGAAATCCTTGGCTGTGCATTAATATTAGCACATCTTTCTGCTTCACTTTGAGTGCTGAGATCCTGCTGCTGCTGGGTGATTTGGGCTCCTGATTGATGCAGGAGCTTCTTTTTGTCCTGATTTTACACCAGAAGTGTTTCCTGGGAGCCCTGAACACTGCTCAGTCCACAGAGCTGGTTTGCATGGGATTCAAATTTCAGTCAGGCTTTGGAGTTGCCTTCTTGGCTTCTCTTTAAAGACAAGACAATTCAAACATCATAACTTAGTGCTAAAGTAAAAGACTTCTGCAATGTTTTTATTGTTTTTTGGCATGCTGAGGAAAATACTACAAATCCAATGAAAAGAAAGGCAGAAGAGAATTGGCTATTTAAGTTTTTCCTTGAATTAGCTCTGAGAGTGGCATCCTTCCAGAGAAAGTGTTGCAAGGGGAATAGCAGAAAGCATCTTTTGAACAAAGGAAGGAAATGTTGGCTCTGCAGAGCCGGTGGTAACTGGTTTTAATGTTTCAAATCAGTAGTAAGTAGTTACAAAACAAATCAGAGTTTACTGTTGAAACCTTTAAGGCGAAACCTCAGTTTACTTTGACTTGATCAAAGCTTCAGTGAGTGCCATCAGCACCTTTGGCACGTAACACTGATTGGTTTAATGGCATTTCAGCTGCAGACTGGCACTTAATTGCACATTTGTGCTCTTCACCAAAATCTGTTTGTGAAAACAAGCATGTTAGACATTGAAATTAATTAAACCCGGACTCTTAATTGCTCTGCTCTGGCAGTTTTTTCTTTAACTCAGTTAGTAGCACACACTTAAGGAATTTGCCCCAGCTGAGTTTTTCGCAGAATGTGTATTTTTAATTTGCCTTAATATGAATTTCCATTGCATAGAGCTCTCCTTGGGACTTTTTTTCCATTCATGAAAAATGATTTTTTACCAGGCTTTAAAACAAGGTCTTTGATACCCAACTCCTCTGCTTAGGAAATGCCACATTAAGCAGGTACAGAGGCACTGGAGGCTAATTGGGTGTTACAGCCTCAGCCCCGTGTTTCACCAGGTCCCATTTGATCTTTAACTCGGGTTTTACCATGTAGAAAAGGGATTGATTAAAAATTTGGCCTTGTCAAGGTGTCATGTGAATTGCTCCTTCAACAGCTCAGAGATAAGAGGCACCAGATAAGGGGAAAGCTGAGCCTGGGCAGTGTCTTGTCAGTTATTGCCCTGCCATCAGCACTTCCAGCAGCAGCTCATGCTTTACCTTCTACTTTATTAATCATCCTAAGAGCCACATTTTTGTTTGGGAAACTGTTATTTTTAAAGTTTTTTACATTCATTCTCAAGTGTGTTGCTGATTAATTTTGGGAGAGGCTTTGCTGGGTTTTTAATTCTGCTCTCCCATGTGCCTGCCCTGCTGTTTGTTCCAGGAAAATTCTGATCTGTGCCTTGAGGTACCATCCTGCTGCACTTAAACTTTGCCTGGATGCTCTTGAGACCACATTGTCTGGCTGGGAGTGCCTTTGTAGCTTGAATTTCTCCTGTCTTTGGGTTTTCTTTGAGTTGTAGAGGTTAAAAAGGCAAAGTCTCACTTGTGACTTTGATTGGAAAATGAGAGAGGAATGCAGAGCAGTGGAGCTTCCTGTGCCCTGTGATACCCTGGATTTACTGGGAAACTCAGCAGTGACTGCACACATCCTACTCAGACCTGCAGCACTTGCTGATAGTGGAGTTTTTGTTTTGACTTGGGTGTTTTTTCTGTCTGTATCATTACAATAACAGCGCTTCTGAATGTTTATGTGGCTGTTTAAAGAAGAAAATTAGTGGGTTGAGTAGATGAGTCTTGTTAAGCTGGTATTTTATTCACAGTATCCAAAATGGCACAGTTGTGTGGAGTTTGCCTGGAGGAATTTAATAGAAATTAAGGAAACACCCTTCTGAAAAACAGATTGCCTTCATCAGGTGCTGCCATCAGGCTCCTAATTCACATTTCTCTAATCTCACTGGAGAGGAGCTCCCTCCATTCCCAGAGATGCAGAAACAAATTTCAGTTTCCTAAAAGACATAAACAGCCTCCAACTTGGGTTTGGTGTGAAATGTCCCGATCTGAGCAGAAATAAAACATGGAATTAATGATGTTTGGGGCAGGAGCAGCATTGGTTTATCTGAGTTAAGCCGTGGGGTATTGATAAGGTAAATGCAGAGTTTACATTCCTTAAAAATCTTAAAAATATGCTCTTTAGTTCCTACTTAACTATGAGTTGTAGCTCAGTGTTCCTGTGTAGTTTCAGATGACATTTGAACACACACATTTATAGTATATATTATAATAAAGTATATTTTAAAAGCTGGTTTTGTGAGCATTTCATGGGATAGTGCTGGCTGTTATTAGAGAGACCAAATACAGTGAATTTTTATCCAATATATGTGCAGAATTTCACTGTGAGATTGGGTAAAACAGGAATAATAAGCAGCATCAACAGTCTCTAAAACATCTTCAGTGATTGTGTAAAAGCTGTTACATCAGTGGCCATCTTCATATGTTGGGAATTCTTTTCATAATAGCTTTAAAGTTCTTTTTTTTTTAAGCAGATTTTTAGATCTTGCCAGAAGTTAATTTAGGCCATGTTTTTCCTTATCTGGCACTGCCTGGTGGTTTGATTTCATCTTTTCTAAAGGTCTGAAATCTTTGCTCCTTATTTCATCAGCAGAATGATGATAGGAGATTCTGGATTGAAGACTTATTTATTTTAGGCTGATTTATTTATTTATGAGCTTATAACAAGCTTATTTGATTTTTTAAAGTTCTGTGTGTAGTTCTGATATCCAGTTGCTTACAAATACAACAGCTTGGTGAATGGCTTTAGATGTATTTTTACAGCAATTGAAATACTCAGGTATTATTCCTTTTTAAGTCTGGCTTGAATGAAACATGAACAAGTCAAAATAAATGCCTGTGATCTTTATTTTTTGATTTTTTTACAATTTTTATAAACAATAGAAGAACCTTATTGATTATTTATTCTCTTGTGTTGTTGAGAACAAAAAGTAGAGAGTTCCTGAATTTTTCTGTGTGATTTGGATAAGCTGCTGCTTGGAAAAACTCTGGCAGGAGAGGAGACCCCTCTGTTCATGTCACAGGAAATGGGAGCACCAAGCTCATGGATAATGGCTCTGTTGGTGTGTTGAGGAGTTGTGGAAATAGAAGAAATTTGGATATTTGAAAGGAAAATTGCATTTTGCCCATTTAGGGAGTTGCTTTCCTGCTTTTTTTGATATTTCCACACTATTGTGGTGTGCACTTGTGTGGGCTGGTTGGAAAAGAATTTTATACAAGTCTTTGGTTTTCCAGAAGAATAGGGATCCTTGTGTTGTCTTTTTTTCTCCCAAATAAATATACATGTAATTGTAGAAAATGTATTGAAATAACTGAAAATAATTTTATTTTCTGATGTGGAGAAGTTAGTCTGTGCTTTAATCTGGAGTAGATCTTTCTGGTGTCCAGCAGCTCCAAGAGAAGGGGAATGATGATATTGTGCCTGTGATTCAGCTGTGTTCGTGCTGTTCCTCAGCCAAAACCAGTGTGCAAACTTCCCCAAACTGGTCTCACTGGTCCCAACCCTCCTCACTCTGTTGCAGATGCTTTTACTGATTCAGCCATCAGTGCTAAAGTTAATGGAGAGCACAAGGAGAAGGATCTGGAACCTTGGGATGGAGGAGAGAACACGGCTTCCGAGGAGCTGGAGGCGCTGGAGACCGATGTCGTGAGTGATGCTTTGATCATCTCTGGCCATCAGTAGAAAATGAGCTATTTCCCTGGACATGCTTTGAAATAATTCCTTAATTTCAATCTGCTAATGAGCTTTGGAGGAGCAAAATTGCTGTCCTGCATTGTGCTGGTGGATGTTCAGTCTTTGCCAGCAGCTGCCACAGCCCTTTGGAGCGATCTGGCTGAGAATAGCTGCCTTTCAAATGGCATTTTTGGCAAAATCTGAGCAGTGGCAGCTGCTGTGGTAAGAGCTGTGCTGGACTCCAGGACCCAAAGAGCAGCTTTTGTTAAGGACTCCAAATCCAGCAATGGCCCAAAGTGATTTATGTTTAATCAGAGCATTCCTGTCTGACTGTCATTGCACTTGGAAATGATGGGGAGATTGTGCTCTGCTGAGTGTCCCTGGGCTGCAGATGGAGAGAATGGATGGAAGCCTGACCCAGGCACAGGGACAGGCTCAGATTATGAATCATTAGATGAAGAATATGGCCTCAAATGCCATGTCCTCATCTATCACAGCAGTCAGCTTTTCCTCAAGCAGAAATTCTTGTAGCCAGGTGTTCAGCCTGCAGTGTGTTCAAGGAGATAATATTACTGATTAGAGCATATGAACTTTGGCTAGAACAATTCTCCTGTCAGTTTTGGTGGCCATGCTGTAGAGCTGAGATTTATTGGAATACCCAGTACTCTCAATGCTTTTATAAAATATTCAGAGCATTTACTGTTGTGCTTGAGAGCTGTGATAGCAATTTTACTGAAGTGGGGGAGTTGTGCAGATCAACAGGAGTCTTCTGCCTGTGGTGCCTCTCAGGTAACTCCATCAGTGCTGTTGAAAAGTTTCAGAAGTGTTAATTGCACTTTTTGGAAAAGGCAAAAAAGATATTAATGTATGTATGTCTTGCTAGCCAGTAGTCTTCTAATACAGAGTAAGCATGTACTTAAAAAAACCTCCTAAAAACAGTACAAAGACTCACAACAAAGAAAAAAAAGGAATTTTGAAGGTAAAATCTGTGCAGCCGATGAACAAAGCTCCCTGAAATAAACTGTGGCATTAATAACTTTGTTATCTGGACAGTGAATTCATAGGCCCAGGAAAAAGGGCAGAAGGTTTGAAACTTCTGCCATCAGCCCTTAATTTGAAGGGAATGTGTTTCCAGTGTCATTTTGAAAAACAAGCATCATTTTCTTCTAGTCTAATGGATGGGATCCCAATGACATGTTTCGTTACAATGAAGAAAATTATGGTGTAGTGTCAACTTATGACAGCAGTTTATCTTCTTATACGTAAGTTCCAAAATATTTTGTTATTAGATTTGTATTGAATGTTCTCCCTGGTTTGACAAACTTTCTATTCTGCAGCTCATTTTGCATAGTTTCTGAAGTTGTGGAATCAAATAACTGCAAAAGCAATGAATGAATGGTGCTTAAGAAACCTTGCCAGCTTTCTGTGAATAGTTAGATGTAGAAATCTTTATGTATTCCCTTAAATGGGCACAGCTCATTCCCATTGCAGAGTTTTCTGAATTTAGCCATGCAATAAGGCTTGTTTCTTGCAAAAACTTCCAGGAATAGGGTGGAAAGCTGTGAATTAATGTGTGTGTAGCTGCTGTACCTATAGTTCTTTGTTTAACCTAGCAGAGCAGTTTGGCTAAACCCTGATTTTATTGAGACAATTGATCTGGAAGATCCTGGAATGCTGAAAAGCTGCTGATAACCAGGGTGGGGGTTGTGTGCTTGTTTAGCAGACTTGTCCAGCTCTAAACTGAAGTTTTAGTTAAATATAATAACAACTGGAATATAGAAGTAGTAGAAAGGCTGCTCTGGCTACTCTGGCAGTGATTTATTCCCCAGAGTCTGCAGCTCTAATGTTCACTGCAACTGCAACACAAATGGACTGCAGATGTTCACAGCCATTGTGAAATGGCTTCAGTATTTCCCCACTCTTTTAACCCCCAGAGCAGAAATGTATTTTATCAATATCAAGGAATAGCAGTGAATATTTTGCTTTTTGTGTCTGTGTGTGTGCACTTGTCTGCAGGTCTGTGGTTCAGCAATGTGATTTCTGTGTTTTGTGCAAATGGACCTGTAACGTGGTGATAATCAAAGTGTCCTAATCAGCTTATGTTTGAATCCTGGGGAAGCTGTTCTTTCCTTCCCTTCACTGCTCTAAGTACTTTTTGTACTTTTGAACTTCAGTCTTCCATCTTTCTGCTTTCTGGATATTAATGGAAACAGATTAAAAACATGAAGGTGGCTTTAAATTAATTCAATTTTTCCCCCTAGTCAAGCAACTTGCTTTGCATATCAGTCTGCTAAACTGGGAAGCTCTTTTCCTGATTTTCCATGAAATGCTTAGATGTGCAGCTGAAGAGTTTATTGTTTGATTGTTTTCTCTTCCTAGAGCTAAGCAATAGCAGGTAGAGTTTGTCAAACTGCATCAAGGTACAAGTTTGTGTTCCAGAAAATGTATTGATCATCACCAGGGCTCTGAACAATGTCATCCTGTCCATCCCCTTTCTCTCATCTTTAATGGCCTGTTAGAAAACATGAAATCATTGCCTGCCTCTTTAGGCTGCCATACATCCCTTCATTTTTTGCACTCACTTTAAATAAATGAGGATTATTGGCTGTTCTCCTTTACTGTGTTTTTAACAGAGGGGCCTGGGACCAGGTTTGCATTCATGTAAATCTTATTTGAGCCAAAGCTTTATGCTGAAGGGTTTTATTGAATATTCTTGCAGTTACCATTGATAAGGCCAGTAAATGTTTTGACTGGCCAAAAATATGGGGAAAAATTTGTGCAGCTGAGTGCTGGCTTGGAATTTGGCAAAGCCACTTGTTTCCTTGTTCTGCCACCAACACTTGAGCAATTTTGCATGTATTACTCTATACCTGGCTTGTATCTCCACCTACTTTCTTTGTTTTAATTCTTTATATTATTCAAAATATGGGCAGTGATTCTATAATGCCCAGCAGAGCATGGGCCAAGCCTCAGCTCTGTTCTCTATTTTTATGTAGCTTATTCTGAAGTAAGGTTGGTGGAACAACTTTTGCAACTTCAAAATCAGGGGGAACAAATTGGTTTTTAAAACCTGACACAAACATTCAGACAGGTAAACCCCAAAAATGGGTGGCAGAAGGAGGTGCCAGGTATGATCCCATCCCTGCTTGGGTTTTTTCAGTGTTTCAGTGCTCATGCATTGAATTTTGACTTGGTGGCTTTCTTATGGGATGATTTTTGCAATATTCCTTCCTGTGGGATGATTTTTGCAATATTCCATTGTCTGCCATAGAGAGAGACATGGAAAGAATGGGATTGAGGTCCTGGTACTCACAGATGAGTCAGGAATTTCTGGTCCTGTGCTCTGAAGTGTTGCATCCATCTTTTCTGCAGTTCTTCATAACAGGGAGAGCTGAAATTCTATGGCTGGAATTACCAAAGGACTAAGGATGTCACTCTCTAATTTCAGTAGGATTGTGTCTGCTGGCAATGTGTAAATAGCTAAAAAAAATTCAAATTTGGGCTCTTGGAGTAGCTTCCTGTGTAAACAGCAGTCTGAGGCTTTTTATTCCTGATGTTCTCAACCATGTTAAAATTTGGAGCCTTTGCACAGCTTTAGGGACTGGGGATTTTACAAATCCTGTGGAAAAGTTCTGCACCCTGTTCTCAGCTCTCTAGGCAGGTAAATGACCCTGAGTTTGTCCATAATATCAAACCAGCCCAGGAATTTTGTATTTAAAAAAAAGACAGCGAGTCTACTGGCTTAGGAGCAAGATTTTTTTTTCCCCTCTGACTCGGTTAGAACCAACACTGTGTGATTTTTGTAACTCCTTTGTGCTTTTGAATGCATTTCAGAGATTCTTTTCCTTTCCATTGTCTTTTTAGGGTGCCATTAGAAAGAGATAATTCAGAAGAGTTTTTAAAGCGGGAAGCCAGAGCAACTCAATTAGCAGAGGAAATTGAATCAAGTGCCCAATACAAAGCTCGGGTTGCCTTGGAAAATGATGAAAGGACAGAAGAAGAAAAATATACTGCTGTTCAGAGAAATGCTAATGAAAGAGAAGGACATGGTGTGAACACTAGGTACTTGAGTGCACTATGAATAGTATTTTTATTTAAATTATGGAGGTATTTTGGTGCTGTAGCAGTTTGCTCATTGATACTGGGCTTTTTCAGCAGGCCTGATTAGGTTTGGAGCCTTGTGTAAACAATCCTGTGCTGGTTTTGGCACTCAGGCTGACTTGGACACCTCTGCCTGGCCCTGTATTATCTCTGTAGTGAAACAAACTTCCCCATTCTGACCTGTCACCGTGGTGAATTTGTCCCAAATTCCAGGAAGGGGCAGTGGTTTCGGTGTGTCCTGGAGAATTTCAGGCATTACTGTTAATCCTTCAGTGCCTGTGGGCTCATAAAGTGGACTGTGTGGCCACTATCAAAAGCCAATTCATGAGGTGACTGTTGGGTCAACATCTGATACTATTTAGACTTTTTCCCTTGGCTTGATGTGAAAAAAAGAGAGCAAATGGGGTGCTTTTTGTTGCCTCTCAGTTGTGTCTCGACACTGATAGAAATTTGCTGTGTTTCAGAGAAAATAAATACATTCCACCTGGACAGAGGAACAGAGATGTCCTGTCCTGGGGAAGTGGAAGACAAAACTCACCGAGGATGGGCCAGTCTGGATCAGGCCCACCAATCTCAAGGTCTGGATCCCACACTTCAGAATTCAGCCCTAACTCTGGAGCAGATCAGAGAGTAGTTAACGGAGGCAAGTATCTGAAATCTGAATGAATGTACCTCCTAACACTGCAGAGAATTACCTCCTTTTGTGTTGAAATGCTGTGGGATTGGTTTGTGTATTCCATAAACCAGGTTAGCATTCATCATTTAACACAGAGGTTGTGAGTTGGATTTGGGTTTAATTCACAAAGGAACACTCATTGCACTGCGATGTCTGTGGCTTTGCAGAGCAGAAATGTCATTTATTTTCCTCCTCAATCACCTTTGTCTTAGATGATGGTGCACTGTGTGGTTTTAAAGATGAAAAACTGCATCAGCACTGCAAAGCTCTGGGTGGAGGAGCAGCAGTGCTGACACCTGCTGAAAGGCAGTGGCAGGAGGAAGCTTCTCTTCCTTTCTGGAAAAGAAGAAAGCCACTTGCTTGGCTTTATAAAAATGGGAGGGGAGAAACAAGAACAGCATTAGAGAAAAGGAATCCAAAGCCTTCCCTCCAAATGGGTATTTGTGTATTTTCTGGACACATGGGTAGTATTTCTAACCAGGCATCAGTAGGCACTGCATGGCAGCAATTGGTGTCCCAGAAGCCAAACACCATTTCTGGAGATGGGTTTCAGCAGTGGCCTGTCCTCATGGCATTATTTGTAGAATTTAAAAATGCTGTTAGAATAAATTGCTGTGAATAAATGAAAAATGTATAATACTCAAGTGATCTATCTGGAGAGGAAGTCTGAGAAGCATCTAAAGGTAAGTGAGACTTCCTTTCTAAAGCCAGAGTCAGCTCTGTAAAGGATGGACAACTGAGCCTTGCCCAAACAATGCTAACCTTGAAATTTGTCTGTAGTATTTGTGGTTTCTCTCACCCTATTACTCTGCTGAATCAACATCATAGACCTAAAATATTCAGAATGGCTTGTAAATTCAATTAATTCTGCTTTGGAAACCATGAGCCCTATATCCTAGATTAAAATCCTCCAGGAATACCTCAGATAAGTGAGAAAGACATAAATGTCAGCATTCAGACACTGAACACCGCTGGTTTTTGTAAAGATCCAGCTCCTAGATGGATATTTGCTCATCATTTGGTTTGAAAGTAGCAGTTTGTGTGGTCAGTACTGTTTGTGAACAGCTGTTTGAGAACCTCTGGTAGCTGTGAAGGACCTTGTGGAGTGCTGGGTGCTGTGGAGCATTGGTATGCCAGGCTAACAGATCAAACTTTACTGTCTGTTCCTTAGTAGTGTTTGTAGATCCCAATTAACCCTTTGGGGAGCCTGTGACATTCACAAGTTCAATTTGACCCCAAAACCAAGGCAAAACCCAGCCCTACAGAGACTTTATCTCCTCAATTACCACCTCAATCCATCCCCAAAGGGTTAAACCGTGAAAGAAAAACCCCAAAAAAATCATTTTGTCATATTTTACTTTTATTCCCCCCCATAATTTTTTTCTTTAGTTTTTATACTTTCCTTCATATCATTTGTTCTGTCAGGTGTTGCCTGGCCATCGCCTTGCCCATCTCCTTCCTCTCGCCCACCTTCTCGCTACCAGTCAGGTCCCAACTCTCTTCCACCTCGGGCAGCCACCCCTACACGGCCGCCCTCCAGGCCCCCCTCGCGGCCCTCCAGGCCCCCGTCTCACCCCTCTGCTCATGGTTCTCCAGCTCCTGTCTCTACTATGCCTAAACGCATGTCTTCAGAAGGTACAAATATACCACGATTTGTTCATGTTTTTTTTTTTAATTTTATTTTTATTTTTGGTTTTGTCTTTGTTTAACTCCTCCGTGAGTTGTTGTTGACGAGAGTTGTTTTCGTTTTTTTTTTTCCTCTTCATTACTTAACCTATAATTTGTGTTTAACTTTAGTTTATCAGACTATTTCTATTAACCTTTTGTTTTTGTTTTGTTGGTTTGGTTGGTGGTTTTTTTTTTTTTTTCTGTTTGTTTGATTTGAAGAGCTTTACAAAAACGAAAGAAAGCTGTGAAATTTCCCGAGTTTGGTATGAAATTAAACTCAGCTTTGTAAACGCTGCTCAGTGTCTTAAATTAACCAAGAGCAACATGCAGGACCTGATAACTTTAGAGAGCATTTTTAGGACTATCAATTTATATAAAATACTAATTTATATAAAATACCAACAACACAGTTATTCCACAAAACTCATAGCTAAATCAGCTTTAGGCCTCTTATAAAGCAACCAGTGACAATAATGATAATAAAAATGCTGTATTCAGAGAAGGGAAATGTGGAATGGGGTAGGATGAGCTGCTTCAAAGGTGAATTTGTAGGAAATTTTTATTCAGAACTATAAATCAACTCCCTAGTATCAATAATACACAGAGAGAGGCTGACCTGTGAGTCTTTGGTATGCAGAATTATCCCAACTAAATTTGTCCTGGGAGGGTGCAGTAAGGAACATGGTTTATAATTTTTATTTCAAGTGTGTTTAAACCCTGCACAGCACAGTGTAGCAAGCCTAGGGAATGCAGAGTGGTTGTACTGAGCTCCCTGGAACTTGCAGTGGGTGCTGTAGCTGGCTCCACTGGAGCCGTGGCAGAGAGAGGAATGATTCCTGAGACTCAGCAGGAACACTGGAAATGCTCCTGACCAAAAAGTGGGGGGTAGCCACATGAGTCTGGCCTTCTGTCCATTTATTGTGGGTTTTTTCTGGAGTAAGGAACTGAGAATCCACCTGCAAATTGAATTATTTCTTAGCACTTGTGGTTGGTTTGTCAGGCATGCAGTGAACTGCTGCTTACTGCAATGTTTAATTCCTACTGCTGCAAGATTCTTCCTGGGAAATGTGTATTTAAAATACTCATCCGTGTGAAATTTGCATTGAAGTGGACTTGAGAGTCATGGTTAAAATAGAGGCTGACATTTAAAGATTTATGTAACCAGGAAAGGTACTTGGTATTTTAGCAGTTCTTCTGCAACCTAAAAGCCATTATCTGAACTTGACCCTGTTACTGACCTGTGTTGAAAATGAGCTGCAATCAGCCACATTCTGTTCACACACAGTTTTTGCTTTTGAAGTATCAACATTTGAGTCTAATCCTGTAAAGAAAATGTTTATTAGGATGCAAGAATTGTATTGCTGCTTAGATTTGAGCATAACTATGGTGTGGCAGCTGTACAGGCTGTGCAGAATTCCTGTGTTCACTTATGACTTTGGCTTCTGGTGTTAAACATGCATGACTTGAACCTTGGGATAACAATCCCTTGTTTAGTTGCAATTTTTGCTGACTTGTAAATGAATTGTGACCTGCTGCAGGCAATTGAGCCTGGCTGCAGAGAATGCTTTGCTGAAATTCCCCAAGAGCATTGGTCAGCCAGTGGTGACTATAAATGGTTGGGATCACTGACCACCTGACAAAAGCACTGGGAATTTTTTATTTTCTGGGAAAAAAATGTTTGATAGCCTGGAACTGTGCTTATCCAGGAGCAAGCTGCACCACTGACCTTTGTGGCTTGGCTTGCACTTGGCAGGGGTGGATTTGGATTGAAATATTTTAAATCCAGCCCTTGCACACCTGTTTCAGTGCTGATAAAGCCTCTGAACCCCCAGGAGCTGCCCTGGGGAGGTGATGAGTGTTGGCAGCCTGGCTGAACCAATGCCTTTTTAGCCTATCATTGCCAATTGCTTGATTTTATTGCTGCTTTATTGAGACTTTTAAGATGAATTGCAATTTTTAGAAGAGATATTTGGGTTTTCTGTGGTGGACTTTAAGCACTTATTGTGTGGGGTTGTCTTTTTTTCCTCAGGGCCTCCACGGATGTCTCCAAAGGCTCAACGGCACCCTCGAGGTCACAGAGTCTCTACTGGTAGGGGTACAATTTCAAGTGGCTTAGAATTTGTATCTCATAATGCACCTGGGGAAGCATCTACTGCTGCAGTGGCACGAGGCAGCCCTTCAGGTGGGACGTGGTCATCAGTTGTCAGTGGGGGTAGGTAAAGCTTGGCTTATTGCAGATGGCTTGCAGGGGGATCCTTAGAGTGGGAATGCTCAGCAGAATCCTGCCTTTTCCAGGCAATTCATGCTCTGAATAATCAAATTCTGGGCTAAGGTTGGAGTGGGGAGAAGGATGTTCCCAGATAGCTGAGTGAGAGCTGGTGCAATATTGTCCTAACTGTAGAGGCAGGTGCTGTGTGGAGAGAAGGGAAGGAAAAGTGTGGGAATTAGTTGTTGGAAGGATTCATTTGTAGGGGATTTATTGGAGGAGTTAGAGATTTGCCACTGCATCCCTGAGTTTGGTTCTGGCAGCGTGGCTGGACTGTGGTTTACAAATGAAGGAGGTGTTTGGGTAGAGGAAGGTTGGTGTTAAAAGATGAATTGATACTCAAGTTAAGCTGGATGTACTTCTCCTTTAAAATTTACATGGATTTTAAGTGGTGATGTTGTTCTTGGCTACTGTAGGAGCAGTAATAGAGTGTCTTATTTTTAATCTGTTAATATATTTTTTTAATATTTGACTTTAAGCTCAGTCTTGTGCCACAGGTCTAGTCTGGAGCTCTTGAGCTGAGGCCATATTCTGGTGGGCTGTGAGGAGCTGGGTGTTTCCTTGAGGGCAAAAGAGCAACAGTTTGGTCCTTTTTAGGTCCTTTTTGGGTATTTTTTAGCAGTGCAGAATTCTAGAGAAGCGTAGTGGGAACACATTTCTCAGACAGAAGGTATAAATTAGACCCACAGAGGCTTGTTGCCTTGTGGAAAAAACTTCAACTCTTCTATTGTGGCATTATTTGTGATTCACCTTCCCTGTTTATATATTATAAACATGCAAGTAGGACTGTTAAATCACTTACCTGCCTTTCTGCTCACTCACTGGGAGTTAATATGTCACAAAAAGCACAAGTGGGATGAGCAGGAAGCAGAAGCTACAATTTACTGTTCAAAGAATACACAACTTTCCTTGCTGCTTTAACACAGGGGCAAAAATATACCTAAAAGCACTCTTTTTTTCAATAGGCTGTGTTGTTTTTTTTCCAGCTGGCAAACCTCCAAAAGAGGACACTGTAAAATGGATGTGTTTTTTCAGCCCTCTTAAAAAATGTTTTACATCTCTTTGTGTGGAGACCTGACCACCTTTTGTGTTCTGCCTGAAACTGGGTTGATGTGAGCTGTTGTAGTTATACTGCTGGGGACTTGGGGAAGCATTTTGCAGATTCTTGGTGGGATTAGAGGGCAGTGATAAATTTTGGGGGACAATCTGCAGAGAATTCTCCCCATTCTCTATGAAATGCTGCGTTGTAAAGAACTAGGAGATGTGCCTGAAAGGTAAACAGGTTTTCAGTTACTACATAATACCTCACAAAGTGTTTCAAAGCATGTTTGTAGCCATTTTAAAACTAAAAACAAACTGCTGAGCAGATGGGGAAGCTCATCCTATAACTGCTTTTTCCTGTTTGTTTCTAGTTCCGAGATTATCCCCTAAAACACACAGGCCTAGGTCTCCAAGGCAGAGCAGCACTCCCATGGGACCAGCTCTGCCTTCTCCTCAGCCTGGTACTATTCCCACTGAATCTGTTGCCATGCCTGTTCCAGCTGCCTCTCCTACACCTGCCAGCCCTGCATCCAACAGAGCAGTCACCCCCTCCAATGAAGGTGAGTGGCCCTCACTGCCTTGCAAATTCCTAATTCCTAATTTCTGACAAGGAATGTGCCCAGGCAGGAGCACAGCTGCTTGCTGAATCATAGGAAAACTTGGGATACATTTCATTTTACTGTGAGTTCCCATTTCTCCAGCTTTAAACTAAGGTTGGAGAGAGGCTTTTTGAGAAGTATTTACAATTAATTTCTTGTGCCCTTAAGGAATATGGGTTTATAGGTGTCTGACTTAATTGAGGATATTTTTTTCCAAATTAGTTTTTGCCTCTTTTTTAAGTTAAATAAAAACAGGCCATTGCTTTCAAACACAGCAAAAGGAATGGGGAAGAAAACCCATTCAGGAGCACAGTCAAATGTCTAAGAGCTCTCAAATCTTTGTAGCATTCTGTATGAAGAGCTTGGACTGCTGAAAATAATTGGCTCTAAGTTTACAGTTTGTTCAGTGTGGTTAAGGTTTTGTGTATGATGAGAGGGATGAGTTTAATTGGGTTTTTTTCATTAGACAGTGGGATGGGGAAGGAGGATGAGGGAGGGTGATCCTCCAGGCACCAACTAGGTAGCAGGAAATGTGTAACTTAAAAGGTTTTTCAAGCTAAAAATGGTTAAATCTCTCCCCTGTTTGTCTCTTGCCCTCTCTTTGGTCAGTTGGAGTTGTGTATAAGACAATAACTTTGCAATTTCTTTTCCAGCTAAAGATACAAGGCTTCAGGACCAGAGGCAAAATTCTGCAACTGGAAACAAGGAGAATATAAAGCCAAGTGAGACTTCTCCTAGTTTTTCTAAACCTGAAAACAAAGGTTTGTATCCAAAGCTTTCATGTACTGCAGTGATGTAGGAATTGTGCACACTAAACCTGCTCTCCTGGCTGCTTTAGTTGGCATTTTAAAGAAGGCTTGGAGGCAGTCTGGTGTTCTACAGTGAAATTTGGTCATGCAGTTGTGAAGTGGCACTTTGAAATGTTGTTTGTGACTCATTCCATCAACACCAAGTGTAAAGATGCTCATGTGGATGGTGTGATTTCACTTGGTTTTTTTCTTTTTTTGTCCTCCCTTCTTTCTTTCCCCTGCTCACAGAGCTGCATTTTAGCTGCCTTTGGACTGAATATGTTTCTGCTCAGAGCTGTGCTCACAATACTTCTGAGCATCGTGGTCAGCAGAGCTTTTCTAACTGTGCTTTTCCTATTATGCCTTACATTTGTTTGTTTCTGTAGAGTTGTTTGTTCATTCAGTTCTCAGAAAAAAAAAAATCTCTTCATGCTGTTAAACTGAGAACCAGATTCATTAATTCTCTCATTGGAGAGACCTTTAGGATGAGTCCAGCCATAAAGCCCACCTTGGCCAGTGTTTCTCCTTCCCTTGCTGTTTTGAAATGCTGGCACAGGCTGGGTTGGGGCTTTTGTTGCATGTTCTTTGTGTTCAGTGAGTTCTGCAGTCCCTGCACCTCGGGGCTTCTGCCTTGGTGTGGTGCATCAGAACTAAAGATAAATCAGTTATGTAATGCTCTGCTTTCACAGAGGCTTTCTGTGTGCTCATACACATAGGTCATGGAATTGTACCAAATAAAACCCAAAAATAAGGGGCTGGATTTCATTTTTATATCTGCAAAACCATTATCTTTCTGCAAACTTAGTAATGTGTATACAACTTGAATTAGAAATACTTGGACAATGTTGATCTTGTATTTGGCAGGTGTCTCTCCAATTGTTTCAGAGCATAGAAAACAGATTGATGATTTAAAGAAATTTAAGAATGACTTTAGGGTAAGTTTGTCTCTGTTAATGGTGTCATCATTCTCATGTGCATCCAGATTATTTTAATGAATTGAGCACACTGCCTATGTTAACAGGTCTTTATACTTTTGCCTAATGTATGAAAATATCTGTAAGAATTCATGTTAAGTATTGTAAAATCAATGCTGACTCTTGTTTGTACAATTGCCTAATGCACATAAATGTGAGTATTGACTGTACACTGAAGACAGGACTTGAAACCTGTTTGATCATTAGGCACAAATAATTATCTCACACTCCATATGGAGGAGCTGTTGCAAAATTAAATGAAGAGTTTTGCAGAGGAAAATTGAAGATGAATTCATATTACTTATTTCCTGGTTAGAAGGGTTTATTAAATCAGGTTAGCTTTTCAAGTGGTGCTGTTAAATCACTGAGGGGATGAGTCCAGAGGGTTGTCTGAAGCTTTCCTGTCACTCCTTAATCAACATACAGGTCACTTGAGTGGCTGAGCAGCTCCTTACACAGTGCCAGCTTAAACACTGTCAGTGCCCATGGATTTCTTTCCTAGTAGAAATGGAAATGAGCATTTTAAAAGGTCATTTCCAGATGATGGAGGCTTGTGGGACTGTGTTTTACTCTGTGTATGTGACAGCTTTAGATGGTCTCCCCTGAGTTTTGTATCAATTTACTGAATATATCCCTTGGGTTTTTTCAGTTACAGTCCAGTTCCTCTTCAGATGCAGTGGATCAGCTGCTAAACAAAACCCGAGAAGGTGAAAAATCGAGAGATGTAGTTAAAGAAAAGACAGAATCCACCCCTAAAGAGTCTATCATAGAAGCTGGCAGTAACACCAACTCCAGTGGTGGCAGTAGCAAACCCAACAGTCCCAGTATTTCTCCTTCCATGAGTAACAGCTCTGAGCAAAAGCGAGGGCCTGAGGTGACCTCCCAGGGTGTACAGACATCTGGGCCTGGAAGTAAACAAGACAAAGAGGACAAAGAGGAGAAGAAGGATACTTCTGAGTGAGTAATCATGCCTTTTGGAATAAGCACATCTTTATTAACAGCAGACCTTGTGCACAAGTCATGACTGGGTGACACATTCCTGGCTCTAGGTGCTGTTACACAGGAGGAGCCACAGGGGAAGGGACTGCCCTGAAAGTCATCTCCTGACTCAGTGCAGAGCTCTGGTTCTGCTGATGCCTAGTTCACATCTAAAAGTTTATTTCAATGTTTTTCTGGCTCACATGAGATGTGGTATCAACTGGAAAACTTTTGTGGTTAGTTGTAGTAAGAGTCCCTCAATGAGAGTGGCTTTTTGCATGCCATGAGGTGTTTGACTTCTCAGAAGTCTGACTCACAGGTGGAAGTGAGGTGTTTCTTAAATTATTAATTGCAGATTCTCCTGTAAAAGAATAATGCCCAACTTAATTTTTTGTTCTTTATGTTTAGGCAAGTTAGAAAATCAACACTTAATCCTAATGCTAAAGAGTTCAACCCTCGATCTTTTGCTCAAGTAAGTGATTTGATGCTGTTTATCAGTGCCTTTGAGCAGATCTTTATAAACCAACCTTTTCCTTGAAGGATACTCAGAACTAACCCTGCCATATCCATTGCTCACCTCTCTTTGTAGCCGAAACCTTCTACCACACCAACCTCCCCTCGTCCTCAAGCTCAGCCCAGCCCCTCCATGGTGGGGCATCAGCAGCCAACCCCCGTGTACACTCAGCCTGTTTGTTTTGCACCAAATATGATGTACCCGGTTCCAGTGAGTCCAGGCGTGCAGGTAAAGTGCTGCAAACTCCTCAACACTTCCCAGAGATCCTCAGGAAGCTGGGCAGGGCTTAGGAATCATAGAATGGGTTGGGAAGGACCTTAAAGATCAGCTTGTTGCAGCTTGGGAGCTGTGAGTTAAAATAGTGAAATAGTACAGCTTGTATTGCTTTGTAAATATAAATCATGTTGTTGTTAAGTTTTGGCTGTGTAAATACTGACTTTTCCCAGTGCTCCCTCAATCTGGATGTTCAGATAATTCTAAACACTTGTAAATGCCAGCAGCCCACATTTATTGTGGGTCTGTGCAGGTTTCCTCCCAGTCCTCCAAGCATAGTCTCTCACTCTCTGCAACTGTTTCTTTGTTCCAGCTGTGTCCTGCTGGTTTCTGGTTGTTGTAGGGATCACTGGGGTTTCAAATCTAGCTCCATGATCATAGAATCATGGAATATCCAGAGGTGGAGGGGGCCCACAAGGATCTTCAGCCCAACTCCTGGCCCTGCACAGACACCCCAACAATCCACCCTGTCCCTGAGAGCATTGTCCAACCTCTCCAGGAGCTCTGGCAGCCTTGGGGCTGTTCCCATTCCCTGGGGAGCCTGTTCAGTGCCCCAGCACCCTCTGGGGGAGGAACCTACCCCTGATATTTCAGCCTGACCCTCTCCTGACTCAGCTTTATACCAAAAAGCTGCTGTGGGGCTGTCAGGGTGAGCCCAGTGCCTGCAGTAGCAGCAGTAGCATTCCTGGGCTGGCTGTTGCCAACCATCTGGTCTTAGTTGTGTGTCCGTGCAGACTTAATGACACTGATCCAAGAAAATCTCATAGGTTAGGCAGAGTTCACTAAACCCTGTAGCAGAACAGAGGGAAACACATCAAAGCTGAGTGGGGCCCCCACCCCAGCACACACTGAGGTTTTAAAGGAATATCATACCTTCAACTTCTTCTGTTTCAGCCTTTGTATCCTATTCCCATGACGCCCATGCCAGTGAACCAAGCCAAGACATATAGAGCAGGTAAAGGTGAGAATAATACTGCCTGTTTGGTTCTCAGTCTGCATGCAGCATGGCTAAATGACAAATGTTTGTGTGTTTTCTAATCCATGGCAATTTGCTTTCAATCGATATTTTAAATGCTATTTTTATTAAAGGGAAGTAAGTGGAAATACTAATGGATTTTTAGATAAACTAATTCAGCTAAAACATGCCAGGTTTGAGTAATGGGGGGTTGCTTGGTTTGGAATCTGATTTGACAAACAGGAAAACATCTCTGTTACTTGGAGCATTAGGGTGAGCTGGTCATCTCCTGTGTTTCATAAATATCACAGGTTTGTTTAAAGGGAACTTCTCTGCTCGTTTTCTCTACTGGTTTGCAGCAGTGCCCCAACTGGTGCTTTATAGAGGGGTTTTTAACAACATGCAGAATCACTATTTCTCCAGGAAGAGTTTGCTCTGCTGCTCTTCTGGAAAGAGCTGGTTCCAGTTTGTTCTTGTTCATTCCTGCTGCCCCAGTGACTGAAAGCTGGACTGACAATGACAATGCCACGTGTTTAAGTGACACCCGTGGCTGTGGAGTCGTGATGGGTGGTGGGATGTGCTGGGAAGGACAGTGAGGGAGCAGAAAGTGCTGCTCTTGTGCTCCTGTTCCAGGGAATGCTGTAACTGTGCCCAGTGAATGCTCCTGCAGTGGCAGCCAGTGCTGCAGGACAGGACCAGCCCTGCAGCTCCAGTCACTGCAGGAGGAAATTGTTTCCTGCTGTTTAGAAACAAACAAGTGGCCTTTATCAACCTAGGGGAGACAAAACCCTGCAATGTATTTCTGTGTTAAAACACAGTAACTTCACTGTGGCCTCACCCCTGAAGTCTTCTGGTTAGTAACACTGTTTTAATCAGAAATACTTTGCTGAGTGCTCCTTTGCTGGGTGAGGCAGCTCCAATTCTGAATCCCTTTTTAAGTTCCAATATTCCATCTGTGTTCAGCACAGCCCTGTGGGAGCTGCCAGGGTTACAGCTCTGTGCCCTTACACTGTTCATGTTGCATCCTTTATTTACTTTCTGTTGTTGATCTGCAGTGTAAATAAAATCACTGAGTGAATTTAGGGATGTTTTCAACATTTCCCTCTCCTCTCCCTAAGAGATTGCCCCTGCAGTGGAGTTTAGAGGAGCTTGAGGTAGCTCAGTTAGTAGTTGCAGCCTGACTGCAGGAAGCTGAAGCTCTCCTGGAGCCCTCCTGGAGCTCTCATGGCCATGCTTTATAGGCTGAATTAGTTTGTTCCCAGTGAGTGGGGTGGTCACCTTCCCAGGAGAGCTCAGGTGACCCCACACTGCTCTGCTCTTTTCATCTTTCTTCCCTCTTAGTTATTCCTATTCCTTATAGGTTTTGTCTCCCTCAGTGTTGTCTGTGACCTAAAATTTGCTTTCTGCTGCCCTGAGGGGTAGCACAGAGCTCAAAAGATGTAAAAACCTCGAGTGTGGCTGGGTGGAGACCTTTATTGTGCTCTCCTCAGCCATAAGCACAAGTCACTTTAACACAGACTCAGATTTCCAGCTGATGGAACAGTGGCTGAGTTGTTCCCATAGAGGGTGAAAAAGCCTTTTAAAGGGGGCAGGATTAATTGGTTAAGTAGGTATCCTGATATAACCTTTCTCTTCCCTTCTGATTCTTGTCAGTCTTTCTCTCCCTCCCCCTTTCTTCCTTCATAAAAAGGCAGGGCTGGGTTTGTGACTGTGTGTATCCAGCCTAAAGGCAGTCATGAAAATCAAGTGTTTCCTGGAGAAACTCTTCTTCACCCTGTTCCTTTTTGACAGAGCTCTAACCCATGGCTAAAGGTGTGGGGTGAGGATATTCCACATGGTCCCAGTAACATTATTATAAAATAGAACCTTTCAGAAATCTCCAAATTTTTTTTCTCTGTCTTTCCAACATGAGACAATTTTTGTTTTCCAGTACCAAATATGCCCCAGCAGCGGCAAGACCAACACCACCAGAGCACCATGATGCATCCTGCCTCAGCAGCAGGCCCTCCAATTGTAGCTACTCCACCTGCTTACTCTACACAATATGTTGCATATAGCCCCCAACAGTTTCCTAATCAGCCTCTTGTGCAGCATGTGCCACACTACCAGTCTCAGGTAAGAATCCTTTCCATGCTCCTGATCAATCCAAGCACAAATAATGAAGTGGTTCAGAGCTAAATAACCCCCTTGTGTCCAGTCCTGAGTCACCCTGAAGAGTTTCTGTGTTCTGGAGCACACGTGGTGATCTTGGAATGTGCTTCAAAGCCCGTAACAAATTTTAAGGTCCTAATGAATTTTAATGTCCTAACGAAATTTAAGGTCAGTTTGGAAGTTGGCATTTATTATTGATATGGTTTTTTAGCTCTTTGAAGAGTTTCTTTAGGTCATGGCCAGCACATCTCCTGGTTAAGTGTTTTAAAAATAACTTACTTGGTGAACTGCTCTTACTTCAAAGGCTGTTAAATCTACATGCGTAATTGGATAAATGTATAAGCTTAGTGCATTATCAGAGTGGCAAAAATTGGGCATGCCAGTGTTTGCTGTCACTTTCTAGCCCTTAAATTTTGGAAACAATTGGGTGTGAAATCCTCAGCTGCTCTGCCTTTGAGCAAGGCGGAGCTGCGACTGTTTAGATGACAAGAGTTTCTTGGGAGTTAATTGTTAACCCAATTAACTGTGTGGTTTTTCCTTTGTTCTGCCTGCAGCATCCTCATGTTTATAGCCCTGTAATACAGGGCAACGCTAGGATGATGGCCCCACCAGCACACGCACAGCCGGGTTTAGTATCTTCCTCTGCAACACAGTACGGTGCGCATGAACAGACACATGCTATGTATGGTAGGAAACGTTTTGTGTTATATGTAACTTTTTAAGTCCTTACCTTGTGCAGGGGATGTATTTAATCTCAGCCTTCCAACGTGGGTATCTCAGTAGATGTGGTTTATATTTCATAAGATGATGATGATGATGAGCAGAGCATTGAAAACTGAGCCAGCTGGTTCAAATGAAAACTCAAGTGTGCTGATTTCGGTAGGATGCCAGTGACCAAGATGAGATTTCAACCTGGGAGCTGCTAAAGAATATCTGCTGAAAGAAGTTTGTTGAAGTTCTCTTGATACATCATCCCTTGTTTGTTCCTTGATTATAATTAGTACTTGTTTTATTGCAAGGTTATGACCTCAGTTTCAAACTTGACTTTAGTTCTGGCAACTAGTGAAATGCTGTCTTTATGAAACTACTGGCATTATTAACAGTATGAACACTGCTGTTTAAGCAAAATAAACCATGTGTTGCTTACCTTTCTCATTTGGTAAGTCAAGAATAAGTAAATGCAACAGCTCATGTATTGCTCTCACTTGGACATTTAGTCTCTAGCATTATCAGATGGGCATTTTTCACTTACAGTGAAGTGCTGAAAATGTGGGTTACCTTGTGACAAAAGTAAAATGTGCAAGAACTTTCTAAAGCATTCTAAATGTATGATGAATCAAGGCCCAGTTTGGAGGAAAAAGAGCTCACTGCAAAACATGCTATTGAAAGAGGTAGAGTCAAGGTTGTTTAAGGCTTGGAAATTGTCATAAAATGTCAAAACAGCAGATGGTCTCTTGAAAACATGGCATTTCAATACTTGTTATAGCATCTGAGGAAAAGTTTCATTGGGTCACGTATATTATTGACTTAGATTCTAATAAAAGATTTTCTGTACCTTTAGACATCTTTGTATGTTTCTGGGTGCTTAGTTTTACACTGCTACTTCATGGAAGTCCATGACATGTCATGAAAACTTACAGAGAATCTGGAGTTTAGTGGGAAATTAATTCTGGTTTTAAGAGGTGTCTTACCCGTCTGAAAACATCTTGTCAGATCTCTGCAGTGGTGTGGTAACAGAGTTAAGAAACAAAAATAACTTATTTTGACACTCAGAGGAAGAACATTTGAGCTCGTTTGTGCTGAAGCTGAAAAGGAAGTTACTTGTAGAGATTAATCTTTCTCTCACAGGTCCTTGCTAATTGTATTACTTTGATCTTTTCAACTCTTGTGCTTGAGGTGTCCATGTAAACAGATCTTCTGTTTGCTTTTTCATTAGATTAAATAGAATTCCCATAAAGCAAATGATCAAAGGCTTTCAGACCTTTATTGGTGAAAACCCTCCTCTCAAAGTCTAATTAAAATAAAACCAAACATGAGATAATCAGAGATTGGATTCAGAATGGTTGCATGTGACTTTCTAGCAATTTCCCATTGTGCACCATCCTTATCTTCTGTAATCAGTGGGTTCTGCAGTGTTGAAGTACAAGCCCGTTGCCTTGCTTGGCTTTGATCAGATGTCTGTATAGTGTTTTTCACTGATATTCTAATTTACAACTGTTAGATCTCATTTTGTGTTGGTTTTGCAGCTTGTCTGTTGTAGATATGTGACTACCTGCCAGTGCAAACAACTAAGTTGGGTCAAACTTGAGAATTCTTTGGTATTTCCTGCCATGTAATTAAATATTACTTTCCCAAGAGCACCTAATTTCACAGAAATGGCCTGTCCTCCTGTGTTCTTTCAAGTAGCTACTTGGTGATTCTTCTAAATATTCTCCCACCTTCCAGTAAATGGTGGAGTGCTTGAAATTTTTGTTACTGAAACCATTGAACCCAAGAGGATCGTGAACTCCATGTGATAGAACCTTTTTTAAGGGTGTGTTCTTGCCCTGTGCAGAGGTGTTTAGTGAACATGAACTGTCTCAAATGTACCCTTCACCTTCCAAGGTGACACTGACACATGGAATGACTGCTGGTGTTCTGCAGCAGCCTCTCAGGTCACATTTTTGCAAGTCTTGCATGTGCTGAGTGCCTGAAGACCTGGCCCAGATAGACTGTGCTTCCTCAAAGTGTGTCCAGCTGTAACGTGTCCACTTCAGCTTCCATTCATCCATGTGTGGGAAAAGGCAGGAATGCCAGAGGTGACCAGTCTGAGCTGCTCATGGAGCCAAAGAACATCATGTTGGAATTGTTCATATCTGACTGACTATAAGAAAATATCCATGACTTATGTGCTGGTTTTGGGAATCTTTAAGTTTACCCACATTTGAACTAAATATACCTGTGCACTTTGAATCTGGTCCTCTCTTAAAAAATAATTTGAAAGTACAGAATAACAACTTCCTGAGAAACAACCACCGCTGCTGCTTTTGATTTTGCTCAAACAATTTCCCTTTTGGCTCTTAAAAATTGCTATCTGATTTTTAAAAGATACATTATTACTTAGTTTTAGCACTGGTATCAGGATTCAGTGGGCCACGCTGCCCTTTTACCCTTCAAGGTACTGGTGCTTGCTTTGAGTTATTCCTGCAAAATTCACTCAGTTTTTCTCCTGCATATGTGGTAGAGAGAAGATGTCTGCAAGAACTACTGTGCTGAGACCTGGGGGTTGGGGGGAAACTGCTTGCCAAGTATTCCTAAGGTGTGAAGTGTTTTCTGGTAAGATCTGAAACTCCACCTTCACTAATGGTTTGGGACGAGTTGAAAGTCTGTGGCAAATAGTAACAGCCTGGCAGCCAAGAGCAATTCCTGCTGATTTAAGGCAACCTTCCAGAACTTTGGGGTTGTTTTCCTTCCTGTCTTGTGAAGAGATAGCTGAATCCAAATTACATACAGTGACCTACACTTGGTGATAAGCACCCTTCCATTTTAAAGAAAAGTACTTTTGTCTAATGCTGTTTAATGGGATATTCCTGCACTTCTGGGATTTCCTTGCCAGTTCACAGTGTCACAACCCCGCTGCTGCCAAGAGAGAGGAGCAGAGCTGCCTGGTCCCAGTAACCCCAGCTAAAGACAGGACAGAGGAGTGCTCAAATCACTGGGGTTTTCCCCTCAAAATGGGGAAGGACAAAGTCCAAAGAACTTTCTTCCCAGCCAGACGATAACAACGTCTGTGACACTTCAGCTGCGGAGCCACCATGTCCAGGAGAGTTTGAGATGTGACACCTTTGCCTGCCACCCAGCCGACCTGGAGGTGTCATCCTTGCCCTGCTCAGCTGCACCTTGGGTTCAGGAGGTTCTGTGTCTGTCTGGCAGCTGCTGGCTTGGGGTGGCCTCCCAGTCCCTGTCCTTCCTTGGGCTGCTGGAGTTTGCTGGCCACCGTCCCAGTTTGGCTCCTGTGTCACACAAAGCCCAGGCTTCTGCTGCTGGTAGAAAATTTGGTTACCAAGTGGAGGGTGGATCTGTCCATTCCTGTGACAATGAACTTGTGTTAGTTTTCCATGTGGCTGAATTGTTTCCAGATAATTGGAGTCCTCTGAAAAACTAAACTTTTGTGTTTAAGAACTTGTGTAAAACCAGAGATTGGTTTTACACAGATGCATTTCCTGTTTTTTGTGCTCTCATTCCTGTCCCTGTTCTCCCTTCCCTTTTCCCCTTCTGCATATGTTTTACTGGTCTGGTGTTGTCTCTAACTTTATCTGGTTTCTGTCTCAGCAGTAGAGTAAATTCTATTCCCTTGATAGTACAATGGTGGATATAATGTAAACCTCAGAGGATTCTCCAGGGACTAAGAGTGAACCAGTCACCAAAGTTGTCTTGGAACTGTTCAGAATGGCAGTGCTATAGCTGAAAAAGCAAGGGCCAGTTTCTGCTCTAGTGTAATTGCATTTTAACCTTCTTGTTCCAGTGGACAGTAATAGACCATGAATTGACATAAAGTTTCTTTTTGTGTTAATGAAGAACTGCAGACTCAGTGTCAGAGTTAAGAAGGAAGGCTTACTCAAGACTTGTGTTTCATCTCCACTGATTTGTAAAATGAAATATCTAGCTCTAATAGCAGCTAAGTAAATAAAAATATCTGCATGGTTCTAGAGTCTTCAAAAAATAATTAAAAAAAAATTAAAACTGACATTGACCTTTCCAGAAGATGGGAAGTATGCACGTGGCAAGAGGCTAATTTACCTTTCTATTTCCCAAATTCAGCATGTCCCAAAATACCATACAGCAAGGAGACAGGCCCTTCTTTCTACTTTGCCAGTGAGTTGGGTTTTTTGTACTAATTTTGATTGTACAGAAAAGCACTTTCTAAAGAACCACATGTTAAAGGAATGGGACGTGTTGAGGGAACAAGTTTCCTTGCACCAAACCAGGATGTGGAAAACGCAGGAAGGTTCCTCTCAGTGGGCAGGGAATGGAGCTTTGGAACAGATTGATATAATCACAGGAAGCTGAGCTGTCAATTCCTCAAAAATTTATTTTGAATATGAAATAATCTCTGACTTCACTACCCAGTCTTTTCATCTGCAGCTGGAAGTGAGCTCTAAGAAATCCTTCCCTGTGAGGGTGGTGAGGCCCTGGCACAGGGAGCCCAGAGAAGCTGTGGCTGCTCCATCCTGCAAGTGTCCAAAGCCAGGTTGGATGGGGCTTGGAGCACCCTGAGCCAGTTGAAGATGTCCCTGCCCATGGCAGGGGGTGGAACTGGATGGTCTTGAAGGTCCCTTCCCACCCAAACCACTCTGTGATTCTGTAGCCTCTGTTTAAACCTGTGGGAGCTGCCTTGCTCCCTTTCATGAGCCAAACAGGATTTTTACACCTGATGAATTACCAGCTTCCTAAAAGGAGAAAGAACATGGGCCTCATCCCTTTTAAAAAAACATGGCTCAAGTTTTGAGCCCCTGGGAGGAAATAACTCGAGCTGCAGCTGAGGTGGAGGGAGTTTTCTGTAGAGCTGCCACTGAAGGAGCACTGGGAACAACTTGTGGCCATCATTGTATGACAGGGATGGGATGAGGACTCCTTGGAGCTTTCTCAGTTCCATTCCCTGGCTCAGGTGGGGCTGTGCTGGTCACCAGCATCACTGGAGGCACTGGGAGAGGAGCTGGTGCTCTCTGGACACAGCAGCCTGATCCAGCTCATCCAGGAAAGGCAGAGAACTGCAAAATCCTGCCTTGTCTGCTGGTGTTGAGCAGCTGCTTTGAGGAAGCTGAGGTTTGAGGGGGGTGCTTGCAGGATGAGCTCTCACCCAGGACATGGGAAAGGAGGAGTTGCAGTTTCAGGCTCTTTCTCTTCTTGCTCCTGTCCTGCTGTGGCACTTGTTGCTGTGTCTGTCTGTGAGTCTGTGCAGCCCATGCCAGGCACTCTCCTGGTTTGTTGTTTATTTTTTTTCTTTTTTTTCTTTTTTTTTTTGCATTAGCTCATGCAAGAGGGATGTGAGAAAAACCACTTGTTCTCCAAAAATCTCCTCTGGAGCAGATTTCCTGTGTTTCTTGTGCCACCCTGCCTGGGTAGGGGCTGTAGGATGCTGACCTGTGCTGTGTTCATGCCTCTTGGTTTGGTGCACTGAAATCACTTCAATAACCTCGTTCCTTTCTTGGATTATCTTTGAAGTCAAGTCCACCCTACCTGTGTAAAATGACTTCTTGAAATGTTTGTATGATGAAAGAAACATTTGCTATTTCTTTGCTTCCTACCATTCAGGTCTTTTAAATGTAGTTATCCTCACCATCTTACTGGCTCTGGCAATAGGTTTGAAGTTTGTTCACTGGTCAGTTCTTGAAAATAGCCTCTTCACTGCATCTGTGGACCATGACCAACGCTGACCAACATTGGCACCGTTGAAATTCCAGGGAAAAAACAAAATTACAAAACGACACGATGTGGTTTCACATATTCCCTTGTAGCTGGGAGTTCTGCTTGATTTCTGCTGCTCTGACCTCTTCTGATTTCAGCTCCTTCTGTGGGTTCTGTGGCTGACTACTTCTTGTTTGCTCTCAGAGACGGGGTGCAGTTCTGTAGAGTTGAATTCAGTAATTCAATCCCTGTGATGTTTTTCTCCCATCCCGTGCCTGAGTCTCTCCCCTCCCCTGTGTCCCTGCCAGGGCAGTGCAGTGAAATATCTCACATTAGACCCAGTCTGAGTGGAAAGATGCAGAAGGGAAGCAGGGCAGCCCAGGCAGAGGAATTTAAGGCATAAAGGGTGAGAAACTCGGTGTATTTGTGCTGGAGTGAGCTGAGGTGACCTGCAGCAAGGTGTGTCCTTGCCTAGAGCATTCCTGGCACATTCTCAGATAATAGGTGGCCATTTGGACAATTGGGGGAAAATGTTGGATAATGGGTCTTTTTTTTTTCCCCCCACCTCCTGTCTTGTCTTATTTGCTGTTAATTTGTGTAGTGAGCTGTTTTGATCACCAGGCAAAAATTCCTTTAAAAAATCCCAGGGAAAGTGCTTTAGTTCTGGCTGAGCAGGTGAATTTTTCATGGCTTTTACAAGACTCCTTTGACAGCCCTGCTGGTCTCGGAGATTTCATTGGCTTGGCAGGAATTACTTGCACTGACTAAACATGAAAAACCATTTGCACTGCTGGAGCTGGAGTCTGAGCTCTGGTTTTGAGCTGGGAATGCATTTCAGACCTGCTGAGTCGTTCTTGGTTTGTGTGCAGGGACTGGCCAGGATTTAGAGGAGTGCCCAGATAACATTTTTTGAAAGGCACTTTTAATATTACTATTAAAACATAATTTGCAGCAGCATCTGAAGTGGTTTTAAGCTTTACAAATTTGATGACCTGCTAAAGACAAAATCAAGAAGAGGAGAAACTGAAAATTAAATATTTTCAGTATACAAAAGTCCAGTGCTTCAAATCCAAAGCTATGGATAAAATATTAGGTGGTTTTGGAAGAGCTGCCACTAAGACAAAAACCTGATCCTCCCCCTGGTTTATATCTATTCTTTAGGGTGCTATTCCTTGCTTTAACTGGTGTCTTAAGAGAGAAATTCCTTATTGTGAAGTTTTATTGTAGAAATATTTGCTTCAGAACGACTGAGTTTATTATTCTCTTGGCCATAAAGAACCAAAAGATGAATTGCACAAATGGTTTAATGGAGTCCCACATTATTTTGGGGGCTCTTAACAAGTGATGTGGGAAGCCTTGAGTATCTTACAACTTGGAATTAAATTTCCTATACATTTTTAGGCCTCTGGAATGGAGGTGCAGTTCATTTGCAGTCAGGCTTGCCAGCTCTGAGGCACTGGGAGGATTGCTGGTCTAAGGTGCTCTTTGGCAAGCAAGTCATCCCTCCTTCCATTTACTTCTATTACTTTGACAAAGATAATAATTTCTGGCTTTCAGAGTGTGTGTAATAATGAGGTGGAGAAATTGTCCTCCTGTAGAAAGCCATAAACTTGGTACTGTAAAAATGATCAGTGTTGCCATTGATAATTTTGGTATTTTCAGAGGAGAAATGTCTGAAAGTCAAGTAGGAGCATGGCAGGGATGCTGCTGCAAAATACATTTTAGTAGTGATACAAAATAAATCAAAAATACTTGGATTTAAAGCATAACAAAATGCTGTGGCAGAAGATCCTGCTGCTTTTGACAGCGTGCTTAGAAAATATTGAGGTGTTTTTGAAGCCCCTCTCAATCAGGAGGTCTCAGAGTGTACAGCTGTGCTTGCACATGTGGATAAGAACATTAGGATCAACTCCAGGCTGCAGGAATTTGGTTCATCTGCATTAATAGCCTGAAACTGCTCATCACTGCCAGGCCATTTGCTCAGTGAAGATTTAATAGAGCTTGCCAGGGATTAAGTTAAATGTGGCAGGCAGTTATTTTCTAAAGGAGGAACCTGCACAGGGGAGAAAAACCTCAATTAGGCAAAAATATCCTGGCTCTCTGTATTCTGGTGAGTTGGAAAGTGTCAGAACTTGGATTTGTAAGGGTTAGAGCAAGCCAGACTGGAGGAAAACTGCAGTGGCCATCAAGTTCTTATATAATACCAACCCCATTAAAAAATAGATATAACCTGGTAGATACTCATCAGTAATTAATTTCAGAACCACCAAAAGGCACCAAAACAAATCAGGAACAGTTGAAGGAAATACTGAGGAGCAGGCTGGTAGTTTCCTTTGGCTGTTTGCTTTTTTAGCATTTTGTCAGCAAAACTCTCCCTGATCTTTTGGGCTGTGACATCAGAGAGATTAACACGTGTTGTCACACACAGAAGTAGCTGCAGACATGGCCTGGTTGTTGCACAAGACCTAAAAGAAATAGGGGAAACATCCTCATTTTTAGGGTCCTGCTTTTGCATTGCATGCTTTGTGTTGAAAGGAAGGCTTGTTGTCATTCTGGCTTTTCATACTTGCTTAGATTCCCTCAAAAGTTCAAAAAAAAAAATAAAATAGGATTTAGTGTGGCCCATTTGAAGCAGGACAGAGCAGGATCCAAGAAGGAACTGGGTGTTTGTTGTTGGAGACTGGCACAGCTTGTAGCAACACATGTGGCTTCACTGGGGTAAAAGTTTTCTGTTGTTCAGTTTCTTCCTTTTTGGGAATTTTGTACCTTATTTGCTTCTGATTCAAGGAATGAAGAATTCCATGGCAGTGTTGGGGAACTCACAGGATGGTGGTGATCCAGAACAGATTGGCCTCGAGGGCAGAGGCAAAATGGGTTATTTTAGCACAAGAAAGTGGCTTCAGCAAAAATTTGATGCTCGAGCAGCCTCAGTTTTGTCAGCTGTGATGTGTTTATTGACTCTGGAGTGCACGGGCAGAGTTTGTGCTTCCCTCTGACTGTTCTGTGAGCAATTTCCAGAAGAGTAGCATGGTGAGGTTAGCCAGGTATAAGGCCAAAGAATTTTTTTTGGATGGTGGAAATAAAAATGGCTCGTAACACCTTTGAAAAGTGTATCTCAGGAAATCCTAAATTGTATGAAAATTATAAATTTGATCTTTGAAACTGGTCTGTTTGACAAAACAAAAGATGAAATACTGCTTTTCTCTATGTAGTATCTGTTACATTGTCAAATTAGGGAAGATAAACTGTCTAATTATGGTTGTTTATAGACTTTCCTGCCAAACCAAACTACACAAAAGCAAGGTAAGATCATCAGCTATTTGCAAGATAAATATATATATTTTTTAGAAGGGGGAGGGAATATATTTACAGACTGAGTTGTAGTGAAATCTTCAAATGCAGATGGTGACTTGATGGAGGTGCAGATCCTGTACCTGGTATTAAATATTCCTTTTTTTCATCCTAGTTTCCACTGGCTCACTTGCTCAGCAGTATGCCCACCCTAATGCTACCCTGCACCCGCATCCTCCTCATCCTCAGCCTTCTGCCACCCCAACTGGCCAGCAGCAAAGCCAACATGCTGGAAGCCACCCTGCTCCAAGCCCCGTGCAGGTAACACAGCCCAGGGCCTGAGTGGCTGCAAATTGTCTTCAAGGGATTGCAGCTGACAAGTGCTTGATGTTGATGTATTGATTTCTCTGAGAGGAAAAAGGGGAGGATGGAGCAGAGTGCAAGCACTCATTTCTCCCTGTTCACAGGGGATGGGGGATGTTTCAGTTTAAGGATTAAGGAAGGATCATAATTGTGTCAGTGCTTTCATATGGGTGAAGTGGAAATAGCAGATAAATGCTGGGGAGTGTTTGATTGGATTTTGTCAAAGCGGCTGAAAACAAAGTGGTCCTTGGAATAGTGCTGCATTCCTTAATTCCTGCTGGGAATAACTCTGGCTGCAGCTGGAAGGCACTCCCAGCTCCAGGTTCTGCCTGGCTTTACCTGGCAGCACAAGCTGAGCCTGGTGGGGTTGTAAAGAGTTTCCCACAAGTACAGGTAATCTTAGATTTGCCATTTACAGCTTCAGAATTAAGAGCAGTTTCCCACCCCTTTCTCCTTAACAGCATCAATGTAATTCCTCAGCCCTAACCTAAATAATCTCTGTGTTTTCTTGCAGCACCACCAGCACCAGGCTGCCCAGGCCCTGCACCTGGCCAACCCCCAGCAGCAGTCGGCGATTTACCACGCAGGTCTAGCTCCAACCCCTCCTTCCATGACGCCAGGCTCCAACACGCAGTCTCCACAAAACAATTTTCCTACAGCACAACAAACAGTCTTCACCATTCATCCCTCCCATGTTCAACCTGCATATACCAATCCGCCACACATGGCCCATGTCCCCCAGGTAAACACAGTTTAACAACCTTCAAGACTAAATGTCTTAATGCCACAAAAGTTAGGACAGTCGGGCCTGCTGAAGTGATTGGCAATCTGTCACCTCTCAGCACAGACTTACCTGTTGTTGTTATTTAGGTTTCTGTCTGTACATTGCCTTTATTTAGAATTTGACAAGGTGTACTTGGACCTCAGCTTCCAACACCTAGTGCATCTGCAACTGTAGTTTAATGAAGACATCTTAAGCTGGCACTGCTACTGAAATAAATTGAGCTCTCTTCCCAGTTCCTGGCTCCCATCCTTGTCCCTGCCCCACCACTCTGCTCACAGAACTGCTTGGCCGTGGAGCAGACCAGGCTGGGGACACCATTCAGCTGAAATGTGCCTCCCCTACCCCCTTTTTAGGCTATTTCTTGGTCAAATCAGTTCCCTGCTCAGTCAGGTGCCTGATCCCAGGAAGAGCTGGCATACAGAAAGGTTGGAGGTGGGAGGTGAGTGCAGAAAGGCTGAATTGCTGCTTTTGGTGGCAGTTTCAGGCTCTGCATCGCAGACAAATTTTATACAAATACATCCAGAAAAGGACATGACAGGATTTCCAGGGAGTAGCAAGGCAGTGCAAGGGAGAGAGGAGAGAGTTCAGGTGACTGCAGGACAATCCTTGCAGAAAGAAGCCTCTGTGTGTGTGCTGTGTGTGTGGTTCTAAATGAACTGCTTGTGCTGAAGAGCCCCAAACATTGTTGGGCAACCTGAAACAACAGTCTTTGCTTCAGAATCAGAAACCCACTTCTCTTAACTGCTCTCTTGTGGTCAGCTCCCTGAGAAAAAGGATTTGGGGAAGGGAAGCACATGATAGATTAATCAAGAGCTCCGTGTAAAGCAGTGTGACACAGATTTTCTGATGTTTACTAAATCTCCTGGATTTAGTGTCCTTTGTCAAGGAATGGGCAGTTCAATCAGTAATTTGCCTGCACAATTTTTTCTTCAGACCAACAACTTGGTGTCTGGCTTCTGCCTTCTCCTGCAGGTTAACAATAGTTTGGGATAAGGTGACTAACTGTGATTAGGGATGTTAATCTGACAGGTGTCCAGTCCCTTGCTGAATTCTGATAAAATCTTTGCTTTGGTCCCTGGGACAGTCAGATAAGCCAATAAATCAATAGTTCTGTAGGAATCATTTTACTGATGTTGAGTTTTTAGCTTTTTGATTCTCTTAGGTTTTTGATTACTCTGCTTTTTTTGGCGGGGAGGATGAGGAGAGGATGGCCAGAGCTGATGATTTCTGTGGCATCTTGGCACGTCCTCCCCTTCTCTGGTTTCTGCCAGAAACAAGACTCCTGCTCTGCTCTGGTGTGAAGGCACTGCTGTGAATGCCTGGGTTGTGTTTAGAGCTTCTCCGAGGGGTCTTGGCTTAGTGGCATGTCCAGTGCTGTGATTTGAAACTTGAAACATTTGCTTGAAGGCCATGAGAGGGTAAAGCTGTGCCTGAATTGTGCCCTGGCCAGGCCAGGGCTGCAGGATGTGACCATTGCCTTCCTTTCTGTGTGCCAAGCAAACCAAATTAAACGAATCAGATGCAACTTTGAGTCAGAGCTGACTGCTCAGACAGCATTTTTAGCAATCACAGACAAACCCTGCCTTGCCCTTGATTTTAACTTGTGCAGTCTCTTCTGCATTTTTTTAGAACAAAAGCTGCAATTTGTGATATTTACACCAAGCTAATTGACTTTCCCAATGAAGTAGTTCCCTCAAAAATCTCTAGTGAAGGCATAACTACAGTTCTGTCAGAAATTTTAAATGCATTTAATTATTCCATCGTGGGGAAACTAATCACTGGATTTGATAGTTTTTTTAGCAGCCTCATTCCCAACTTCTAAAAACACAATTCTGAAATACCACGTAGTAAGAATTTCAGTTAGGCCAACACAGGGGATCAATCCAATTTCCCTTCAGGTTATCAGATGAATCTTGAGCTGGTAGATATCTCACTTGAGAACCAGTACTTTAAAATTCATTAGAGAGTGCTGTCAGCTGCCAATTTGCAAAATGTTTGAGCCACAGCAGAAAAATTTTATCCACTGTGTGTATTGACTCCAGCTGCTCTATGAATAGCTGCTTTATAGTGATGGCTTCTACAATAGCATGTTTGTCAAAGTCAACGTGGAGCCAGTCCTGGGAGGTATTTCTGTTCCACAGCCTGATCTCCTAAAGCTTTTTTAGAGCAAGAGTGAGATTTGAATTGCAGTTCCTGCCTTTAAAGGCTTCTGGGGTGCTACTAACACGTGCAAGTCTGATCAAAGAGTTTGGGGAATGTCTGTGATGAGTCAAGTAACCCTTTTTGTCTTTAAGAAATAAAATTCTAGCCACTACCTGCTATCTGTCTTTACTGGCATGGGAGACCTGTGAGGCTGCAGTTCTGGGATATGGTAGAAGGACAAAGCAAACCTTAGGTACAAATGATGGGGTTTTGGGGCTTTTTTTTCCCAGGAGAAATCCACTGAGAGCTCTGAGTTCCTTTGTGCTTTTAAGAAATGAATGTTTGCTAGGTTTTTAAATAAAATAAATCGATTGATGACCTCTAGAGACATGAACTGCTCTGAGCTAAAGAGCCCACCAAGTTCCTGAACTTGTTTGCCAGAGGTGATCAGCCCTGGGAAGGATTAATCTCCTTTTCCACTGAGACTTAGCCCTGATTGCTCAGATTACACAAGAACTGCGATGAGCTGAACTGGAAGCAGAACAAAGCTGCCCTGGGAGTGTGAAGGGGTGAAATCACTCATGTCAGGAGGACTTGGCTGAGCACTGTGTGGGCACAGGTCACTGGAGAGGACAGGGAGGTTCCCAGGGCAGGGAGCCAGGAGAGAACGTGGGGTTGTGCAAGGAGAGAGCTGGGGAAGGGATGCCAGACTCCCAGTGCCTGTGCAGTTCCTATCTGTACCCTCTAGGAAGTGCTTTGATCTAGGTGACTAACAGAAATGTTTTGAAGATTTGTTGCTGAATTGTTATTTTTTTTTAAATATCCCCTGTTTGATGCTGGCAAAATGGCTAAAATTGAGAACACAACTCAGAGCCAGCAGTAAAGACTTGAGCGCTTTTTTTAATTATGATTTTTCCTTTTTGTTGTTATTATTATTTTTTTTTATGTTACAACTTCTGCCTTAACCCCTAACCTAGTTAAAAAATTTAAAATTTAAAAAAAAAAAATCAAAGACATGAAGAGTAAACCTTTGCTGACGGAGCAAACTTTCGCCAGTCATGTGGCCAGGAGTTGCTGCCTCCTTGTGACCATGATACTAAAGAGCTCTTTGTTTCAGGCTCATGTACAGTCAGGAATGGTTCCTTCTCACCCAACTGCCCATGCTCCAATGATGCTAATGACGACACAGCCTCCCGGTGGTCCCCAAGCCGCCCTCGCTCAAAGTGCACTACAGCCCATTCCAGTCTCGACAACAACACATTTCCCCTATATGACCCACCCTTCAGGTGAGGAGTGTGTGCCTGGGAGACCTGCACCCTAACTGAGCCAGGTCGAGGAGTGAGGACTGGGAGAAACCAGATTTGGGGAAAAAAAAATTAAAAAAAATACGACAAAGACAAGCGACCAACCTTAAGATGTCCTTGTGTTTCACAGCTGTGCTTTGGCAGCCTGGAGGAGCGTAGGTTTAGCTGAGATGTACCTAATTCAGGGAATATTCTTGATTTTTCTCTAGCTGGAGTAGGGAAGAGGAGAGGAGTGAGCCACTGGCACTGTGGGACTGAGTTTTCCGTGGATTTGCCGTGGGGGATGGACTGTGTGTAGTTTAAATGATCAGAGGTTTGATTAAATCTTGAGGGCAGCAGTGAAATGTTGTGTGTGGGGGTAGGGCTGCTAGGCTGCTGTTAAAGTAAAGTGACAACTGAAAGCTAAACTTTAATTCAGAGTAACATTCTGCAGCTTTGCTTTGGGGGAAAAGTAGGAGTTGTGTGACTTCTTTGTGCTTTAAATTTAACCTTATTTAGGTTTCTTTGATTATTCGAGTTCAAACAGCCTCTGAACTTCTGCAGTGATTTAGTTTTACCTGGTGTTTCTTGGGGGATGTGTGAGCAGAACAAAGCTGCTTTCTGAGGGCTTAGGTAGGGAAAGAGCAAAAAAAAAAAACCATCCCAAGGACATCTTGATGTGCAGGGTTTTGTTTTGTTCTCTAAAAAAAATAAAAGAAAAAGAGGAAAAAAAAATAAAAATAAAAGAAAGTTGAGCTCAGTAGTTGTCCTGTGACCACTTTACTAGCAAACTGTTGTGTGGCTTGCCAATTTATTATTTACATTTGAACTTTTTTTTTACAGTACAAGCCCACCACCAACAGCAGTTGTAAGGCTCATCTGGAATAACTGAAAGGCTGGATACCTTTTGTAGGCCAAATACCCTCCTTCTACTGCTTCTGCCAACTGGAAGCACAGAAAACTAGAATTTCATTTTATTTTGTTTAAAAAAAAAAAAAATTTGATTTCTTGTAACATCCACTAGGAATGCTAACAGTTCATCTTGCAGTGGGAGAGATTCGGACTGAGTAGAGGCATTTAGGAACTTGTGGGCTATTCCATAATTCCATGCACTGTATCTGAGTCCTGCAAGTGCCCCAACTCTGCTTGCTGAAAACTGGAAGTTATTTATTTTTTAATGACCCTTCAAAGTTATGAACTCGTCAGCTAGCAAAAGAAGTAACAAGAGTGATTCTTGCTGCTATTATCACTAAAAATCAAGACTTGGAGATCCCTTTTACTTCTAACTAAACTTGAAACAGGTTCAGTAAAAAAAAAAAATTCTAATCGTCAAACGGATGAGTTATTATTTATAAATCACGTTTGATGAGATAATCACTATCGTGAGACAGTGATGTAACTTTTAAGTTAAGAAAACTTTTACTTTGTAGATAATATAAAATAAAAACTTAAAAAAAAATTAAAAAATAAAAAAAGTTTTAAAAACTGACCCTCCTCGGTGTTTGTGTGGTGATTTTGGGGTCTCTTCCCATATTGGCTGCTCCAGCTCCAATCCCAGCTGGAGCCAGGGTTTGCCTGGGCATTGCAGGAATGAGGGAAAGGTTTGGGAATCCCAAATCCAGCCCAGTTTTCTATCAAGGTTTTGTGTCCAGGTGATTTTGTGTCCTGATCCCTCAGCCTTGAGCTGCTCTGGATGGGATCAGGAAAGGTCCCGGATGGGCCTTAAGGTGATGGAAGCATAAAAGTCAGTGGTGCTGCTGAAGAAGGGAAGGAAAGGTAAGAATTCCCTTAAAAAGATGGAGAGACAAAGTTATCCCTGCTCCGAGTGCCGTGTCCTGACTGTCCTGTGTGGTGCAGGCATCGTCCCATGGGGATAAACCAGAGGATTTTCATGTCCAAGGGAGCATTCCTGCTTTTAGCATCCAGTATCCACTAAAACAATGTCCAGGCACCTGGAGAGAATCAAACTGAAGACTACAAGTGAGAAACAAGTTCTAAAAACAGTTTATTAAGAGCAGATTTTTTTTAATATTATGGTAAAATTGCATTATTCAAGAATAAGTTACTTGTACAGTACATACAGAAACAATATATAGAAAAAAATTACTATACAAGAAGAACTTTTCTGTGCAGGTGAAAAGTAGAACTTTCAAATTAATACACTCCCAACAAAATTGTTGGCTTTAATCGTCCTGCTGAAGGCTGAGTTAGGGAATACAGAGTCACCTTCCTGCCCCTGGGAGCTGCTGGGGAATGCTGGGGCTGTTTGGATCCAAGCTAAAAGTTTGGAATGCTGGATGACACCGGGGTCTGGTGGTCCGGATGAGGAAGGAGAAGCTTTGGCTTCTCCCTGGATCTTTTCCTAGAAGTTTCACCCCAAAATAGCTTCAATCCAAAGGGATGGGTGAGGAATGGTGGTGTCAGTGTTTGGTACCTGCTGGGAGGGAGGGAGACATCCACTAATGCTTCATGGCAGGAGCTCCAGAACCCGACACCCCTGGGGACACAAAGGCCACCAAGCAGGAGTGGCTGGCAGCAAAGAGGAAGAGGAGGGGAAGGAATTCCGGCAGGACCCAAGTTTTGGATTGTGCCCCAAAACCAAGTCCCTGCTGTCACAGAGCAAAGGCACTGCGTGGTTTTCATTTTTATTGCTAAAAACTGTCCTGAGGAGCTGGATGAAATGGGGCTCCCCAGCCTCTCCTGGGGGAGGCCCGTGGGCAGGACTTCCAGCCCAGCTCCAAGAGCTGCTCCTGTGGCTCCTGCCTTCCTTGGGTGGGATCCAAACTCGTGTCCCACGTGCCCACCTCCAGAGCCAGGGCACAAACTGGTGCCTGCACCTCACCAGGGGCCACCTGCCCTTGGCTTCCCCTCCTCCCAAAACTTCCACAAATGCCAGGAAAAGCCCACAGGGGCTGAAGAACCAAACCTGCCCAGCCCTGGGCTCTTCTCTCAAGTCACATGAATATAAAAAAATCCTGCAAATCGCTTCTATTCCATAGGGTGGAATGGCTTAATGCTCTTTGCCCACTGCTACAGTGCAGAGGAGTGAGTACCTTAGGGCTGCAGTAACGTGCTGGCAGGAGCAGAGTCGTGCTCTGACCTGTGTCACAAGGCAGATGTTTTCTAGGAGAAATGGGATTTCAAACTCAGTTCCCCCTGGGAGCTTGGGAAATAGCCCAAAAATCCCCTCAGGTCCTGCTGCAGTGGATCTGAAATGAGGAACTGGTGGAGCTGGCAGGGCTGGACAGCCCTCGGCTGCCTGTGGGTGAGTTTGGGGATGGAATTGGCTATTAAATAATCAGAGGGACTCTCCCACTGGTGGGGAGAACAGTTCTCCCCCACTGGAGTTTGTTTGCATGGGGGAAGTGGCTGATAATGAAGCCAACGTGTATTTTACTAATCAAGCCCAGCAATTTCCATTTAAACTGCGGAGAACCCCCTTGTAATTAAACTGCAGGTTAAAAATACCACATGCACACGCATGTTTCAGTTCTGGCACTGGAACAATAAAGTCCTGGCGTGCCAAAACAACCCACCCCAGCAGCATCTGATTTATCTGGCAAGGATTTCTCTGGATTCAGCTGGCAGGGGATGTGAATAGCACTGCCTTTTCCCAGCCCGTCCTTTCTTTGCAGATGTCGGGAGATTCGGGTGATTCCACCTCACCTTTTGGGGGAAAACCCCTTTGAAAGCAACTCCCTGAAGCTCAGGGGGACTAAAACCAGCAACCTGAGCAAGATTTAGCACATCCCTGTGTTTTCCAAGGCTTTGGGAAGCGGGCAGCAAGCGAGGAAAGGAAACAACAACTCGTGCTGTGCTGTCCCCCCTTCCCTTCCCCATCCCTATAAATGCAAGAGCACGGGGAGTTATTTATGAGCCTCAGAGGGAGCTGCCTTGCCTGGCACAAGGCAGCCCTGGGGATGTGCTCCTGCCTCTGGCTGCAGCCTTTGTGCTGCTCCAGGGAGGAGAAAGGGATGCGGATACAGCTGAGGAGGACAGGGCTGGCTTTGTTCCTCCCTCAGCCTCTCCGGGGCTGGCAGTGCTGCAGGACCAGTGCAATTTGCTCTTAATGCTCCAGTTTCAGGCACAAGTGTAGAGAAAGCAGGGGGGAAAAAAGCCTTTGCCTGCTCTAAATGCACAAAGCCCAGGAGAGAGCAAGAGCGAGCAATGGGGAGGCACAAAAGGAAAACCTAAATGGTTCCTGTTTGTCTCAGCCTCATACTCAGATTTATAAACCCAGATTTGCTCTCATTGCTGCTTCCTGGACTGTTTGGCCCCAGACATTTTGGCCTTGCCCTTCAGCTCCTGACCTTGTCTCCTTGGATGTGGGCTCACCCAGAACCTGCAAAGCCTGTCCTAGGGGCTGGGTTTTTGTGGAATTCCCTAACTCAGCCCAACGAGGCTTTGTGTTTGCTGGTTTTCAAATTAATTGCTAAATGTTAATGCTCCTGAGGGCTCCCACCTGTATTGCAATTTCAAGGAAAATAGAAATAAAAATGCTTTCTGTAAGGCAAGTTTTGTATCCGAAATCCCAGGGAAGGCTGCGCTGGGAAATCTGGAAGTTGAATACTGTGAACATCCCCTCCTGTGTGGCGCAACGGCTCCAGCCCTTCCTCTTTCCTAAAATAAAGGCAGCTTCTCAGAAGTGCTTCCTCTCTCACGGCTGCCCCAGGCAGGTGAAGCAGCCCAGGGGGCTCAGGAACAGCAGCAGAGTTTGGGGATAGCTGGGCGTCAGGGGGTGATGAGACCCAGGGATTTAGGACCCCAAATTTGGCCCCCAGGGACCCCCATTGCCTGCAAGAGGCTGTTGTGGAGCTTAAAATGCCACCAAGCTCCTGGTGACATGGTGTTTTGGGGGCAAAAAGGCAAGCAACTGTATGGGGGCTCTTTAAGGGGAAAACTGACTTTAGATTTGAGCCTAAAATCACTGGGATAAAATGGTTCCATTACTGGGATAAAACGGTTCCATCACCAGGATAAAAACCCATTCACCACAGGGATAAAAAACCTCCATCACTGGGATAGAACCCATCCATCACCAGGATACAAAGGGATAAACCCCTCCCTCACCAGCAGGAGAGGTCTGTGTCAGTCTCTGTGTTAGTTCTCAGCTGGTGCCATGGCTAAGGATGGAGCAATTAGTGTTCAGTCTCAATCAGCCGGGAGAGCAGGATGAGGATCCCTCTGCCTGGCGCAGGGAGTGACCACGGCTGGGTGGGTTCAAAAGGAAAAGCAGGAAAAAGCCAGTTTTTGCCTTAGCTGAAGAAAAACCCCAAACCCTGCTCAGCACCTTTTGTGGGAGCTCAGCTCAGGTCGGGCTTTGCTGGTGGGTTCAGCAGCCAGGGCAGGAGGATGAGGCCTGGAGCAGCAACTTGGCAGTGAATTTATAATCATTCTTTTCTTGTTATCCTGGGTTTTTTTTTAACTTCCTCCAATTCCGTGGGTGTAACACAAGCCCCTGGTTCCTTGGCTGGGTGCTGTCATGTCAGGGACAGGCAGGACACCGGGCACGAGCGGCGTTGTGTAAACAGTAACGAGAAAGCTTCGATAAAAACAACAAAAAACCAACAATAAGAGGCCCTTCAACAGGCCAACGAGAGGGAGCACACCCGTACAGGAGTGAAAAATTACCCCCTTCCTTGCGAAAAATACAAAAATAATCCCTAACCAGAAGGAAGAAACAGGTACATTCTTTCTCTCGATGGATCCCCCAGAAGGTCTCCAGGATTTCTCCACCCGAAAGTGCATCCCAGTGCCGGCGCCGTGCTGGTCACAGTGGCGTGTACTGGTTGTCGATGGCACGGACGTGGCCCCGGCCTGGTGCCTCCACCTCATAGTCCGAGTCGCGGGGCCGGGCCGCGGTGGCCGCGGTGGCCCTGGCCGGGCGCAGGCTCTGCGCCAGCTCGGCCGGCGGTGGCACCAGGTGGAAGATCTGCTCTGCTGGGGGACCCCCGGGGGGCTCCTCGGGGCTGTGAGGGCAGGAGGAGCTGGTGGGGACGAGGCTGAGCTCGGGGCTCCAGCCTGGAAAGGGCAGCGGGAGGGGGACCGTGGTGCTGGAGCCGGGAGCTGCGGGCAGAGAGGGGAGATGCTGGTCAGGGGGATGCTGCTGTCACCCCCTCTCTGGGGGAGCGGGGTGCATCCCATGACCCCCCCGCAGCCGGCGGCTGGGAGCAGCTTCTCCTTTCCCAGAAGGGGAAGTTGGGAGCTTGGCAGTCACCTTTTGTGCCACTGCCCCGAGGCTTCCGCTTCCCCACTCCAGGAGCAGCCAAAGGGCCCAGCTCTGGCCAGCCCCGGGACACCCACACCCAGCCTGGGCAGCTCCATCCCTGCATCCCGGGGGAACATCCTCCTTCCTGAGCACCTTGTGTCTCAAGGGAACATAACCCCTTCCCAAGCACCTTGTGTCCCATGGGAATAACCCCTTCCCAAGCACCTTGTGTCCCATGGGAATAACCCCTTCCTCCACTCTTTGTGTCCCATGGAAATATCCCCCTTCCCTTCCCAACACCTTGTGTCCCACGGGAACATCCCCTCCTTTCCCAACACTTTGTGTCCCACGGGAATAACCCCTTCCTGCACTCCTTGTGTCCCACGGGAACATAACCCCTTCCCAAGCACCTTGTGTCCTATGGAAACATCCTCCTTCCCTTCCCAACACCTTGTGTCCTATGGGAACATCCCCTTCCCTTTCTGCACACCTTGTGTCTCATAGCAATATCCCCCTTCCCTTCCCAACACCTCGTGTCTTATGGAAACATCCCCCTTCCCTTCCCTTCCCTTCCCTTCCCTTCCCTTCCCTTCCCTTCCCTCACCCTGTGCCTGGGGCAGGACCACCACGTAGCTGGAGAGCCGCACGTCGCAGGCGGCGCCGCACTCCAGCGGGATGGGGTAGCGGTGGAAGTGCTGCAGCATCTCCAGGATGGAGGAGAAGCGGAGGTGCTGGACCCGGCACTGGCCCCGCTCCGTCAGCGCCAGCCGCAGGTGCTGCGGAGAGGAGCAGGGACCTGTCACCCTCCCTCCACGCCCTCCTGGTGGGGATATTTGGGGTGGGGGACACTAAATGGCGTTGGCACTCCCAGCCTGTGGCTCCCTGGGGATTTTGCCCCCTGGGAGAAGGGCACCAGCACACTGCAAGCACGGGGGCAGAGAGCAGGAGGGCACCTCCCTGGGGTGGGATGGGGGCTGTCCCTGTGAGATTCCCCTCCCCATGCCAGCCCTGTCCCGCCCGTACCTTCGCTCTGCCCTGGAAGTTGAAGGTGAGCACGTACTCGCCGCGGCGCGTCTCGCTCTGCCGCACCAGGAACACGCCGTGGCCCTCCAGCCCCCCCAGCTGCACCAGCTGAGCCGCCTTCACCCGCGAGATGGGCCCGTGGAACCAGGGGCACGAGGAGAGGAACTGCTCCATCTTCGGCCCCGCCGCCTCCCCCGGGCCCCCCGGAGTCGCCCCTGCCAGGCACAGGGATGAGTGTCCCTGGGAAGTGTCCCTGGGAAGTGTCCCTGCCCATCGCCCCCGTCCTCTCCCCTTCTGTCCCCACCTCGTGCCATCTGGGGAAGGCCAATCAGCCCAGCCATGGCAGCATGTGGTGACCCCCCGGTGAGGGATACTCTGTCCCCAGGGTCCCCTGGGTGTCCCCAGCTCACCTTGGCTGACGGGGTCGGTGCTGGTGACTGGGCTGGCGGCTGTAGGGTCGGGGTGTCGGCACGTCAGGAGCTCAGAGTCACCTGTGTCAGACCTGCTGGGGACGGGAGAAGCCAGGCTGAGTGCTGGCAGTGGGACACAGAGCCACTGTCCCCTCCCCCGGGCTCAGGGACATCCAGCAGTGCTTACCCCCTGCGCACACACTCCCGGATCTCGGCTGTCCAGCAGCTGAGCTGCTGCTCATCCCCTGCCTCAAACAGGATGTCGGTGGCATTGGTGACCTAGGGGACATCAGAGAGGGACATGAGATCTTTAGAGAGAGAGAGAGATGTGCATCCCCCACCCACCCACTTGGGGAGCCCAGCAGGGACAGCGCATCCCCCACCCTGCACTCCACATCCCCCTGTGCATCCCCTGCCCGGATGGGAAGAGGAACTGAAATTTGGCACGGGAGCTTTTGGGAGCCCCAGAGGGTGGGAAAGGCCTCGGGGGTGGCTGCAGACCCTTTCAGCAGGTCCTACCTTGAGGACAAAGGTGTGGAGGTTATCGGGCATCTCGAGGCGTGTGCACCTCCTCACCTCCTGCACGGTGGAGCAGGCGACAAGCAGCTTGGGCTTGGAGCCCTGTGAGGGGGAACACAGAGCCTGGGCTGAGCCCCAACTCCCCCACAACCCAAAACACTGCCCCACACCCCAAAACACTGCTCCATACCCCAAACACTGCCCCACACCCCAAACACTGCCCCACACCCCAAAACACTGCCCCACACCCTCAAACACTGCCCCACACCCTCAACACTGCCCTAACCCCAAAACACTGCCCCACACCCCAAAACACTGCCCCACACCATCCTGCTCTGCCCCATCCAGGAGCACAGCAAGGAAATACCCAGCTCGGCAGGGAAATACCCCAGCAGCAAGGAAATACCCTGTGTGGTGAGGAAATACCCCTTTGTGGCAAGGAAATACCCCTCACGGCACTGCCCAGTCACTGTCGGGGCACCCCAGGGGGGCTGAGTGACATCCAGAGCCATCTCAGGGGTCCCAAGGACCCTGCAGTGGAGGGATGGGTGGAGGAGAGGAGGGAGAAGGGGGTTCCCAGCGTGGCAGCATGTTCCAGGGATGTGGCAGCAATGGGGAAATTGGGGTGCAGGCAGGGAACATCCTGCTGGTGGCTGCGAGGGTCAGTGGCCTGCCAAGAGCTCCCCAGCGGGTTTGGCACTGACACAGGCATGTGACAAAATGCTGAGCAAGCACTTCCACAAGGGCTAAAATATCCCTGTGGCAGCTTTCGGTTCCTCAGGAGGCTGCAGCACGTGGCACAGGATCTGGGGTGCCAGGGGGGAAAAAAAATCACTGAAATGGGCAAAAAATCACTAAATTGGGCAAAAAAAATCACCCAGTGGTGCTGAGTAACAGAGCCAAGGCTCCATGCTCAGCCCCACAGCCAGAACCATTCCATGCATCCTGGCAAGGCCCAGGCAGTGCCACCACGTGCCAGGCCTGCTCATCCCCCTGTGCCAGGCTTGCCACACAACATTTTGGGCTGGCTGTGATTCACACAGTGGCTTCATCATCCCATGGGATTCTGGTTCCAGTGTCCCTCTTCACTCACACTGTCCCTACACAGCGACAGTGCCCCGACACCCTGGGACACCCCCACAGCAGCATTGCCAACCAAACTGCCCAAATTCTGCCCCGAGCTTGTGGCACTCACAGCAAACCCACCCCCACCATGTCCCCAACCACCTGTATGACACTGAGAACGTCCCCAGCGGACACTTCCTCGGTCACCCAACCACACCACCTTTAGCTGTGCTTTTTTTCTTTTTTTTTTCCACCCCCCTCCTCCCTCCCTGTCAGCACTCGGTGTTCTCTGGGGCCGGAAACGCAGCAGAGAGGGATCAGCCCTTATCAGCCCCGAGAAGAAAGTTCTTAGAAGTCGCTCGTGCACGGCGTCATGCACGGGGCTGGTGACACCGCGGTGGCTCCGGCAGCCCCGGGCCCGCTGGTGACAGTGATTGCAGCTGTGCTGTGCTGCAATCACTGTCACCGGGCTGCCGTGAGGCGCCGCGCTGGCGCCGGGGCTTTAATCCCGAAGGAATTTGGTTTTTCTGCCACCTTCGGAACGCAGCCGTGCCCTGTGCAAAGTCCTGTGTGGAGAAGGTGAAAGGACCTCTCGTCCTGGCCACATTCCCACGCGGGAGTTGTGACGTCCAGCGTGACCCTGAGCGGGTTTTATCAACACCCCAACCACAGCGCTGGGGTCGGCTTCTCGGGAAACGGGGGAATTCCAGGAAAAGGGAGTTCTGCGAAGCCCCCTGCGTCTCTCGGCGTGGAGAGCGCAGCTGGAGCCTGAAGGGAGAAGGAAATGATGCAGCACAGAGATAGGGCGCCCGAAAAACCAGGCTGGCTTCGGGGAAGTGCCTACCACAGGCACGGTGCCCCCGCTGCCGCACCTGACCGCAAGATGCCCTGCTCGATGCGGCCGGTACCGGGAAAGGGAGTTCTCAGTAACCAAAAGTGCACACTCAACACGCCAAGGGTTCACCCACGGGCTCCTTCTCGGCAAGAGGTGCCCCAGCAGCACTGCAGGGATGGGTAATGCCTGGCTCAGTGTGCTCAGGATGGGGTGGAATGTTTAGGATGTTACAGGTGTTGCTCTGGCTCAGCCCAAACCCCACCAGCTTCCACATGGAGATTGCCCCACTGAATCTCCAACAAGGATATTTGGGATTGATGGTGTTTTTCACAGCAAAGCTCCTCCCAGCTCGCCCAGCTGTGTCAGGAATGCTCTCCCCACGAAGCTGTGAGCTGCTGCCATGAGGAGCAGGTCCTGTCTGGATGCTCAGGGGACACTGAGGGTGCCGGGGGTGCTTTTCCCACTCAGGTGAGGGGGAAGGTGACCCTCCAAGAACGACAGTGGCATGATGATGACAGTGGTGGCAGTGGCTTGGTGGTGATGGCAGTGGTGCAGTGATGACAGTGGTGGCCTGGCAGTGGTGGCACAGCAATGACAGCAGTGTCATGGTGACAGTGGCACAGTGATGATAACAGTGGCACGATGATGACGGTGGCACGGTGATGACGGCAGTGCCGTGGTGGTGATGGCATTGTCACGCTGGCAGTGGCACAGTGACGCTGGCAGTGGCTGGGCCATCAGGCCAAGTTCGTGCAGAGCAAATCCTTCGAGAGCACCAGGAGCTGCCCCCGGCCCCTCCACGCCCCGGGGGTTTCCCCACGCCGGCTCTCGCTTCCACCCTGAGTCACCGCGGGAGGTGGGGAAGTGCCTGAGCCCTTGTGCAAGGTCCCCAACGGATACGGGCGAGATTTGTCACTTCTTGTAAATCACTGTGGCCCTTACGCAAGGGACAAACCTCAGCCAAGCTGCAGTTCCAGGCCTGGCGTGGCCTGGCTGTGCTGGATGGACACAAAACCATATCCTGTGCCTGCAGCCCTGGGGGAAGCCGTGAGGTTTTCCAGGAGCATGGATACACACAGCTCCTCTCCAGGGAATGCTGGGTGAACTGGGTGGGAAACATCCCCTGGTGCCAGGGCAGGACAGGGAGAGGCAGCAGGGCCCTGCAGGGCTGCGAGGGCTCCAAGGGTCCTGCTGGAGAGTCAAAGTGCCTGCTGGAGCAGCCATCATCCTCAGGAGTTTGCACCAAGGGTAATCCCAGCCTTCTTCCTCGGGGATTTTGTGTGGCAGGAAATCCCACAGGTGGTTTCCCTTGGGAGTTTCACCATTGTTAAACCCAACGTTCATCCTTGAGGACATTGCACCATAGATAATCCCAAAATGTGTCCTCAGGGATCTGCACCATGGCTAATCCTGGTGCTCATCCTCAGGGATCTGCACCATGGCTAATCCTGGTGTTCATTCCCAGGGATCCGCACCACAACCACTCCAGTTATTCATCCTCAGGGATCTACACCATGGCTAATCCTGGTGCTCATCCTCAGGGATCTGCAGCTGACTAATCCCTCTCTCCTGCATCCAATCCCAGTGCTCCAGGGGAGTTGACAGCACAGTTAATCCCAACGCTCTTCCTCAGGTGTTTGCACCACAGCTCATCCAAAGGGACAAGGTCCACCCTGCCAATGCTGGTTTTGGGGACTGGGACTGGAATCCCACTGCTGCAGGGACCCCTAGCTCAGCTCAGCTCCCCTGGCCCCAGGGTGACACATTCCCAAAACATTCCTGCCTCTCTGCAGGTGCAGATTGCTCAGCTGGAGACCTGACAGCAGCGAGCACCATCCTGGCTCCATGCTGGGTCTGGGGAACTGCAGCCTGGAGGTTCCCCGACCCTCAAAGAGGAACACAGGAGGTGATTCCCGCTGCTGTGCGAGCTCAACATCCCCCACCCCGTCACCACCCCACAAAAACCCCTCTCTGCCCACCGCAGAGCATCCTCCACCCGGCACACAAGGAGCCTCCAGCACAGCCTGTCTCCGAGCACCCCGCGGGCCCTGGCAGGGGACAGAGCTGTCCCCGAGGGGACCGTGCCCGGCGGTGACAAGAGGCACCGTTGTGCTGGCCCGAAGCGCTGGCTCGGGGGTGGCCTGGCCACAAAGGTCCCTCTGTTCCCGCTGCGGGCGGCTGCGAGCGCCGGCGAACGGCGACGGGGGAAAGCACAGCCCCGAGCCCCCCGAGCCCCGGATTCCTTCCAAATTAACCCGGGGTGCTGCAAAACAGCACCCCAAGAGCCGCGGGGTGGGATTTGGGGGGTCCAGAAATCCCATCCAGGCCTGGAGCTGGGGGTTTCGCTGTTCTTCGATCATCCTCCCTGCTCTGAATGAGCCAATGTTCCCAAACTCCCCAAACCTCTGCAAAACCCTAAAAACCTTTCAATGATCCCCTAAACCCTGCAAACCCCACAAAGCCCCCCAAACCCCCCAAAACCCCCCAAAACCCAGCAAAGCCCCCCAAAACCAGCTACCCCAGCAGCTCACAGCAGGGCTGAGGGTAATGGGGGCTGTAAACAAGGTCTGTAAACAGTCAGCTTTCACCAGACCCTTGATTTTTATTTTTTTTTTTTTTTAATTTATTTTATGCCAGATTCGGTTCCAGCGTGGGCTGCTTTAATAATTTCCTGGAATAAATAACGAGCATGGAAAGTAAACAAGGTGTCTGCGTGCAAGTGGGAGCTGCTGCAGCCAGGACTGAGTCACCCCAAACCTCAGCCCCACAGGAATGAGGGGGTCCAGCACAGCCTCTGCAGGCTCCCCACAGTCCCTGGGGTGTCCTGGGATTTTTCCCAACGTTTTGCATCAGCCAGGATGATGGAAAAGGTTCAAAAGGCCACATGGGAGCATTCAATCCCACTGGATGGGTATTTTCATTCCTACCCCTTGCCTGGGGCTGAAGAAGTGAGTTTGCCCAAAATGCTCATTTTTAACACAATCCCAAAATTACATTGAACATCACAGACACTGGAGCTGGGACCTGCCTGGTGGGAAGGAGCAGGGTCCACCCCAGCTGAGCCCCCACCAGGGCTGGGATGAATCCTTGAATCCTTCCAGGCCCCACGCTGCCTGCGCAGGCTCTCATAAATATTTACCTTTGAAAGAAGCAGCTCTCAGCCTCGAAACAACCACATCCTGGGCCGTGAAAAGAGAGAGAG